CCGGTAAGGGGTAGAAAACATGGTAGTGATTCTATTTCTGGAAGCGACAGGGAGAAGTTCGATGCGCCCCAAACCGATAAGCCTGAGATGCAGTTTGTTAGTAGTTCGATGACCGATTTGGCAAGCTTGCGCAATAAACGAAAGTAGATAGAAGACATCGAAAGCTCAATAGTTGTCGTGATATTGGCTGTCGTCTTGTGAGTAACACGGCCTAGCTAGTTGGCCTATCCTCATGTAAAATGCGCCTCTTGGCTTCCTATTCCGACCCCATAGGCCTCTCCCTACCTACATAATCATCACTTGAACAAGTCCGAACTTACTCATCTCACTATAATAATGTTAGATTGCTGTCTTGCTGGAGACATATTTGACCTAGTGGTCGTCTTGTATGTAATGAGTCCTGTCTAGGAACTTGGACGCGTCTGCTCGCCAATCACCGGTGGCCTCCGTTTCAACTCTAGGGATCGACTGCGGCTGAGAGCTGGGCGAACTCGGGGATTAAGCAGACGCCTCCTGACCATAGTACGTCCCGATTAGGGCACATATACGGCTCCCGCGACGATTTCGGGTACCCTATTCTGACACGGCAGATGCTGGCCCCATTCGTACAATGTAGTAAGCAGCTCATGGGCCATGATTAGGACTGAATACAGAGTGCTGTTCGCTTACACCTTAGATCTTTGAAAGCGAAGTTGCGCCTCAAATCAGAACGTGAGTTTTCTAGGAGGAAGCTGACAAAGCCAAGTAGCTCAACTTGGCACCGGACTATAACTCTATCATGGCAAATAGAAGTTAGACTTTCGGTATGCAAGGGAACAAATGCCATGTGCTACTCTGAGGTGATATTTTAAGACGATAGTTGCATCTTAGGCTCGGCCGAAATCGTCTATCAGGCTGCCGGGACACGCGCAGGGGGCGTTTCTAGTTCATAAATCAACTGCCAGTAACCTCATTTAGCATTCAGTTCGCAAGTTGACCGGGACAAAACCCCTTATGCAAGCATCCGGGGCAACCGATAAGACAACAGGAAAAGCTGTCTTGCAAACGTAGTTTTTGAGGCGTCGTGACAAACGTCGATGTCATTTCCCATTGATTAGGTGGCTGGAGATGTGTCTTAAAGATGCTAACCTGCTTTAGATGGTAAGCTTAAGCTAGATCCGTAAGATCTACAGAGCTTGAATCAAGGATATCGAGCTATAAAGGATTAGTCTTATTGGATCATCATCTTGAATTTTTTCTGTGGTGGTTGGTTGAAAATTAGTTGACGTTCTATGGTATAGTTGATGAAAAAGAGTGAAGGTACTATAGAAGCTTGTCACGTTAGAATTCGTGGGATGCATTTTTAGAAACGCGATCAGGATTAAGGTTGTGGAGATCAATGCTAGCCTAAATCCAGCTTAACCAAAATAGGCAAGAGAGCGACGTTTCTTCTCGACGTTATTGGTTGTTTTGGACATGGATTAGTGAAGTGTGACGCCATAACCGTCGAAACGTGGATCGCATCTGGAAGTACGTACTTTGATGTACTAGTAGAATTACAATAAGACTTGAATTTCATGGGATGTATTCTTAGAAACCAGTAATTCTGGGTACGGGGAAACCTTACCAGAGGATTAACTACCATGGATGAATGCATATGTTTTAAGGGAGGATATTGTGGCGAAATAGTCGAAAGCAGGTTCCGATAATGTCTCCCGCTCAAACGGAAGATGATGCGCGAGCGAGACAACATATGCGCTCAAGCAGATGCAAGATTCAGGCTATTATTTGGCGAAGAGCGAGTTTTTGGAACCGGGCCCTCGGCAGAGTAAGTGATATGTCATAGGGCCTTTAATACATTGAATGTTTGATGAATTATACGCAGGTACTCATGAAGCAGTTTGAATGTCAAGAGCTGTTTTGTCACTAACCATCCGTAATCGGAAACGTGTCGGAACGAAGCACATCGTTGCCTCTACTCGTAGTGAATTCGGGTTACACCGTTTCATGAATTTAAGGGGTAATATACTATTCGGTCCATTATTCGATATAGTAAACTAAAAGTCCTTTTGTAAGTACGATTAAACATTTCGAACTCAGATCGTAGTCTGTCAACTCGATCCAGTAGCTTCGAGTAGGTCCGGGGGTAAAGGATTCGATCGCATTGTATAGAAGGATGCATAATACATGACGGATGATGGCTGACGACGAATGCTCCTGTAAAGGTTGTCGAGATCATCTCCCCGCACTTAACGATAGGATAATCATAACTCTCGCAATAGATTAGGAGGGAGCGCAAAACATCGGAAGATTTGCCTGACTTTTATGATAGAGCCTATCTGATGGACAACCGACGAGATGCATGAGTATGATTTGCGAGTAAAGCCTGACGCTAAACATGACGTGAAAGGGTGTTGTGAACCCGTCGAAAAGGCTAGCAGTCTAAGTGGCTAGGCCCTGTATAACCTCAATGCTACCCAAGCGGCCGAGTTTTAACGATAGACCAATCACTCAAGTACGACGGCCATCAGCGTTGCAACCTGTCTGATGCGGGTTGCATCCTCAAGATATGGTTGGCAGATTCGGAGTCGGCGTCTCCCTCTTTCGTTTCTCACATGACGGTTCAAACATCTCGATCTCCCTTCTCCTGAAAACTTACATATCGAACTAATTGAGTCGGTTTGCTGAGCGGGAAGGTCAACTACGAAAAAAAGCCGAATAAAATCATTTCTCCCTTGCTAACCCTGTCGTGAAAGGAGATGGCAGCGTGTAGTTTGGAGAAGTGTTCCGCTATGTACCTGCCGTATTAGAGGATAAATCGTCGTAAAAGTCTCGGCGATAGTCGGCGGTAATGTAGATCACTGCTGTACAATACAATACTGTAGATTTGGGTGCTCGGTGAAGAGATAATTTTGAAGACGACTATCCACTCGCGATGAATGATGTTGTATGCAAACAGCCACTACTATGGTACTATTAAAATTGAGGCGTTCTTAATTGCTATTGATCTATGTATGGTAATGTAAGGTAAGGAAGAAATGGTACGGATAATAAAAGAACGGGTCTCCCGAGTCCCGGCGGGCTATGACAGGCGACTTAGACATGTTGTACATTCGTAGACGCAGTACACGTCGTACATAACCGGCCGCAGTGGCTAGTACCATTGGGGTCTAGGGGTCTTGCGGGTTCTAACGGCTCCAAGTTAGTCGAATAGATCACTAATTCTATGTACTTAATGCATTGAAAGCCTGAATTCTAGAATTATATCGCACGATGTAATACATAATAACTGCATGATTTTACATATCAAGTTTATACTATTTAAAAATGTCGCAAAGATTAACTCCGTTAAATCGGTGATCAGCTTCAAGGGTCTCGATCCAATATGCTAGGTACATACTTTAGGTAGGTTCGCATAATGTTCATCTTTTTAACACAAGTCAGCCTTAGGTAGTGCTACGCGTATGAGCCTTGTCTACCTCTATGCATCTTTGCGCCACAGAACCTCGAGTAACTTACTTACCTATGTCGAGTGACAATCACCTCAAAAGTTTGGCTGACGGGCTTGTAAGTTTATCGTCATGAAGGATTATCGATGAACGAATCTCCCGTAGACCCAATCCTATCTATCACCGACTCTATTGTATGTACTTGGTGCATACGAAATAATGGAGTTTTTTTACCTCGAATAACCTGACCAACCCAATCCTAATCACTGGACCCTTAGGCGATCATGTCCTTGAATGGAAGTATTTTTACAGATCCCGTTGGCAGAACTCCACAATGCTGGTCTGTCCGCTGTCCTCTCGAATGTTTATTCAAGTCCTCACACCGAGTAAAAGGCATAAATATGTTTAATAAGTACCTATCTACATAGGTAGACATAGGATGACATTATGGCATCATGGTATCACGGTTTTAAAAGCAGGCGAAGCTGATCATATATCATATAAGTTAGGTAAAATGTTGGTAGATGCACGGACAAAATAGCATACATTTATTGAAGAAAGCGTACGGTGGCTATACATAGCATCGGTTGTCCGATTGCTTTTCGGCCCAGCCCTCCGATTATTATTTCATAACCAGTTCTCCCCCCAAGTTTGCTAACGTAGATTTGATCCATTTCGATAGATTTTTATTTTTTATTCAATTTTATATATCGCGTGCAACATTATCTTAACCATCGTCTGTACGAAACGAACGAGACCTAACATCGTCGACTTGTGCAACTCACATCTATAATATTCATCAAGTCATGTAAGTGTTCAACGGCCGCTAATACCTTATTCGAAGCACCCGCCGCTACCTTAATTCCCATATTCACTTTGAAACAGCACACATTGGACCACTAAGATGTAGAGAAGAGTCGGGATGGTCCGCCAAGTGATTTATCTCCTCGAATCGAGCCCTTCAATATTCTTATTTAGGACCATCTCTTTATTGTCTATCGTATTCTTCTCGATATTACTGTATTAGTTACATCCTCTGCACACTTTCACTTAGAACTGGTTTCTTCTTGATGAGAGAAGGATGAACTAGCTAGTTCTAGTTACGCACCTACCCATTCGTGACACCCCTCAACCTTGTCCAGGGTCTGAAGTCCTGAGAGTTACAACACCCGCTAAGACTTATGTTCCAGTGTTCCAGGTTTCCAGGTTCAGGGGAACACATTGTACCCCCCTGTCCCATGTCCCCCTGTCTATAAGGTACGTAGCTACGTTCCCCCCACCCTTCACTTATATCCATGTACATACCTACACGGAAAACGCAGTTCATGGGAATAATATGTATGCCACCCACTGCCCAACTTCTTTTCTTATGAAATATCTTCATGTCCACAGTTCATTCGAACCCCACGATGCACTTTCCATAACTGCCTTTTAAGAAAAAGAGCTGGCCTCAGCTTACATTCTTTACGGATCGACAGGTTCAGTTCCACCTTTAACTCACTTATATTACTATACTATATCGACGCCTAAGCGCTTCACCGCCGGCGGACCCATATCCCATATCTTAACAATATGACCACCACTACTATGTCTGTAGAACAACCACACCCATCGAGTGGTTTGGATGAGGTTCGGAAGTCAGTGGCTTCTAGGATATCTAAGGAATCCCGTGAACAGTCCAGAAATAGCTTTGCATCATATTCGACCTGCGAAGAGGACCTGGCCGACGTGTTCGCCGATATGGACGATACGTGTATGATCGAAGAGGCTACGGTTTTGGATGCTCGGGAGGTTACTATTGCCACCCCTAAGTTACCAGAGAAGAGCGCACTCAGGACATCAAGACTCTTGAATACTCTACAGCGTATCTCGACCGAACCGATCACCGACCCGCACGATGCTTACCTTTCTTCCGAAGAGGATGCTTCTTCGTCTGCAGACGACTTCTCCGACTACGAGTATGATTCTAACAGCGACGAATCCGAGAAGTCTCCAGCGCGACGTAAGAGTCAGGAGGACACAGCTAGGGCCGTCTCGGTAATATATATCGGAAAGCCTTTCGTAGTGGACTTGTCAAGCGGTCGAAGATCGGTATCACCTATCCGAAGACCTCGAACAAGATCCTCCTCTCCTTCTATCCGCACAAGCTCGTTTGAAGGTCGACCAGGTCCGTTACGAAAAACTAGCTTCGCATCCACCATGGATATACCTAGGGAGAGTCCTTCCTTCCTCAACCAGGACCCCTTTGCTACCAATAACTACAAGCTTGAATCAGCATCGAAGGGACCGGCACCTACTGACGTTATCCCTCGAGCTAAGACTCCATTCCATCGTCTTCAAAGATCGATGAATCTAGTAAGGAAGCGTAGCCGTCCAAATCTTAAGGACGCCGCCTCTAGAGATAGTATCCTTAGTTTGAGATCTATATCAAGCTCAACTACTGATCTTCAACTCACATTAAATACGTTACGCACAGCCGGCGAGGAACCGCAGCAGGTTCGCAGATCCGAGACAGTATCTGCTGCCCCCGCACGGCCTCAGACCCCCGTGACTTACAACGACATCATGATGTCGGCGCGGAGGGAATCAAACCCACGATTACTTACTAAACTACCGCCATCGACACAGCCTATGAGCCCAAGCCCAACAACATTAAAGAGGGGCATATTAAGCGGTCTCAATATGAATCGGCGGCGGAGTTTACGGCTTGTTAAGCCGTAAAAGCTCACGCTCTTTACTGTTATAATTTCTTATTAATTTCATTAATCTCGGGGCATACAGCTAGGAGGCGCTACAGAGGCAACATGGAGTTAGGTTTGGAGGCGCATCATCACTACTGCAAGTTATAGGTGCATTGAGTTTGACAAACGTTCATGGGAGAGTGTTAATTGATACCTTGGGATATGCCTGTTAATGAGTAACGGCCACAGTGTAAGGGAAAAGTTAGTAGCAATAAGCTAATGGGAGGATTACATGAGTCTATTTGACGCTGCTATAGCGCTTAAAAAGGCTCTTAGATGAATTATATCACGTCACAACTCATTTTGATTTCACCTTGAATGTATTTTCTTCCTTGACTTCGGTGTGTGCGACAGTGTTTATGGCTTATCTTGCAACATATACGGTGGACCATTATGACATTAATGCCAAAATCAAGAAAATAGGTGGCACTATATCTAATAAGGTAATAGTAAGGCAAAAATACAGTATAAGCTCAATTAATATACGCTGTATATACATTTAATACCCCTTTTAACCTTATACCATAATAACTTTACGAATATTTATTTAAATATTTTTCAAAAATTATTAATATTTTGATTAAAAAAAGACAAAAATTATAATTTAAATTGCATGTGATTTAACCTAAAATTAATAGTGTTATTAAAAAGGTTATAAAATTAATTAAAAGTTAAATAACCAATCAAATATGGCTTTTACTTTAACTTTAAAATACTTAAATTTAATAATACTTATACGTATTTAAATAACTTTACTAATATATCATTTTAAAAAATATAATTAATATTATTATATAACTTTAATTAATGTAAAAATAATGATATAAGTTATATGTATATATCTTTTAATTAACGTATCGTATAACGTGTTATATTAATATTTAATAAGTTTTATACGGTACGTAATACCTTTTATAACCACTTTAAAATCTTATATATGTAATTATATTATATATAATTATTATTATATATATATAACATATTATTTTTACGAAATAATTTAAAACAATTATATAATTAATTTAATAATTTTTTTTATACTTTAATTAAAATAATAATATTTTCTTTAAATTTTTAAAAAAAATATTCAAAAGGTTATTAAATAATATAAGAATTTTGTATATACCCCGCATAGTATACTGTACACTTTACATACTAGCCTTTTTTGGATAGATTTAACCTATTTTCTTGATTTTGGCACTAATGTCATAATGGTCCGCCGTAACATGGGGGATTTTATTGCTAGTTTCTATCAGTTTCGTCTGAAGTTAGCCTAAGCCCGATAAATGTTTCAGTATAACAAGAGTCCCTGGTCTGTGATTGGCGAAACGAAACATTAACGATACAGCCCATATCTTAGTTTTCAGCACATCAAGTTTCACACTCGGCCTTACCGCATCTCCAATCGCAACTGTCATATCGTAAAGCGCATCGCTGTCTTGGCTCCCTCGAGAATATTTTTTTAAATTCTTTTTTGCCGATAGCGGGCGGTCTAAGGAGTTGACACCATCGTCGTTACGAGCAAGACTTACACGTATAGACTGGCTTATAACCTGCAAGGAACAAGACTAAGAAAATGCAGCAAACCAATCATAATTCTCCTCCACCACACCCCAGCCAACTCATATGTCTGAACTTGCACTAGTATCAAGCATATCGCTCGTCATAGTAGTAGTTCACCAACCTCCCTTTAGAAGCCTTGAGAAATGCGCATACGAGGTATTGACATCAGACTTTTATTTTTTATTCTTTTTTTTAGCAGGTCTAACGGATACGGGAGAAGTATCACAGCTTGCCAACCGTCACTATCATATCACCAACGCCCTGCTAGACATGCAAGCTGCGAACTGCAAGCTGCCGTGTATGTAATACATAACCTAACTTTAACTCTATGTATGTGTGTGTACCGTACCGTACCTACCTATGCATCTCTATCTCTCCTTTCCCCCTTTTTAAAAAAAAAAAAGAAATCAAGATCCGTGTAAGCGAGTTTTTTTTTTTTTACCGCCCCGATGGGCAATGCGCCACCTTCGGAATGTGGTCACCGAGAGTTTTGCGGAAAATCTCGTCCAAACTATAATATATTAATGCTGCGTGACCCCATCCCGCCAATCCAGAACCGGCGACCGCCAATGCGCGCCCACCTTGATGTTCGCTGTATGTATATATGTGGTATGGTATGGTATGGCGGAGCTGGTGGGGGGGCTATAAGGAAAGGTCACCGCTAATTTGACGAATGCGCGCATCGCGACTTTTGTATGTATATACCATATAAGAGGAGGGGGGGTTCAATCCATGTACGTTATTCTCAGGTGCGGATATAATCGAGACGTATGAATGAATCGCCGCAGATATAGAACGTTAAGGCGTTGAGGATATACATATACCCAACTGCATCTGTATTTTACTCGCAATTTACTACCTAATCCTTAGGCGCACGTAGGTATGTAATCTAGAAGATGATGGGCTTGGTCGACCGGCTAGATGGCACAGGGAAATAACGGGTACTTAGTTGTTAACAGCAAACTTTCAAGTCGCACAGCGCTACTGCATACATACACGTATAACCTTAGATATATGCTACTATTACTGCCGTACTTCGTACTTTATACATGTAACTACCTATGCATGAACATGACACGACAGCAAAAAAAAAAAAAAAAAAAAAAGCCAACAGCAAGGGGCAAGGTAGAATTCTCCTATTACGATTTATATGCATCCACAGATATAAGAACACAATACATACATCGTAAATTTATGTATCATGCAACCCAACCCCAACGCAGCGGTTGCCCCCATCTCGCACAAGCGAATCGCGACTCTAAAAAGAGCTTAGACGCCCACGGCACCTGCATAAAAGACTTGTAGAATTTGGGGTCTAGTTTGCCGGCCTTTCTTACTCACGTACCACTAATAGAGCATACATAGCATAGCAGATACATATGCAAGACCCTAAACTAAACCCGGCTGGGCGATCAACCGCCAACCGCCAACCATTCGTTCGCCCAGAAACCAGAACCCTCTAAGATCTTAAACACCCGGACCAATTGCGTGTCGCGCATCGCATATATATCTATCTCACATATATATTATAGCACAGCACGTATATATGTATGTATGTATAGTGTAGATGATATATAGTATAAGGCGCATTAAGCTATGGAGGAAACCGTCCGATATTGAAGACATCGATATCGGAGAAAAGACCAGGGACCTATTGTTTAATTGTACCTATGTACGTACTCCGTACATACAATGAATGCATGTCGAAGTCGACCAAGCATCGCGCCCCGAGCAGCTGGACGGGCGCGTGGCTTGCCCCTGGATGAAACAGGTCCCGAGGCATATCAAACGAGCAGCGCCCAGAAGCTTAAATTCTTGATAACGGCGTACCTGAAAACGCCCCTCCCCCTCTCACGGGTCGAGATCGAGCTTTGAGCAAAGTCGTAATAGAGGGGGAGGGTTCTGCGGTGTCGCCCGTCGAAACGCAGCTTTGTTCCAACCTTCGCGCCGCTCTCTGTTCTATCTAAGTGCTGTCGTTCGTTGGTTCGGACGAGGAATCGGATGGTTGAGGCGCTTAGATATAGTGAGTGCATATACGGTTCAAGCTAATACATTAGTTACCTACTACTCATAGTGTTTAGCTCCCGTAGCTGACTGGGCACTTTAACGTGTTTATTCACTCCTTCAAAAGCCGAGCTACGAAGTGAAAGAGGCCGCGTCTTCCGATATGCCTGCATAGACCGTAATCCACACGCCCCGCGCGGATCCCGGTGTCAGAGCCCAGTCGTAGGTATCTCATGCAGCGCCGAAGCAAAGCAAAGTCGTTATCCCATCCCGTCGGGTCACGTCACGTCATCGCGAACAAGAGAAAAAGAAAAAGACGTAATACGACGTGATAAGACCCTCTCAGCACGAGGACGCAAGGTACGATCTGAAACTTGAGGCGCAGAAATGCGATGCGATGCGATGTCGTCGTCGTCGTCGTTACTGCGTACATACCGCGCACAGACGGTGGATATCGCGAACCCTGCCCGTTTCGCCTCTCTCCCCTGGCCGTGTTTCAGATGCCCTCGTCGCGCCGGCCTTGGCTTCTACCGGAGGATAAGCGATCTGCTGGGGATTTTCGGGCACGTGGTTATGGGGACGAGATTGCAGGATCGATCTAGTTGTACGCTATTGTGTGGGTAAGAGGTAGGTAGAGATGTGGTTTGGGGGGGTGTCCGGGTCACGCGATGCGGGAGCGGTCCGTTGGGCGGGTACTCCGGGCCCGGGCTATTGCGGGTTCGTTGTGGTGACTTGTTAACCTAGACTATTGTCTTTGTCTGGAATCCTCGAAACTTTATATTGTTGACCTGCTCCTTCTATATAGGTAGGTAGATAGGTAGATACAACCGTAATTTGTTTTATTGAATTGAATAGATGGGCATTAAATCGTACAGTTTGATCCACTTCTTATAGGCCCCTTTTCGCCTAACGAACATGTTAGTCATTTTAGCCCCAACGTTGAGGCAAGAGATATGGGTGAGTTCCATGAGGCATCGATGTAGATACACTCCAGAAGCAATTAAAAAGGCACACATAAACTACGAGTGAATTGTTCATACATGAATTAGATAGCCATAACTTACTACTACCGATGTATCCATAAGAGACCACCAGCCTCTTTCCGAGCAGTATGGTAAACGGTATAGTAGAAGTATACTGGGTTTTAGAAAGAAGCAGCTAAGCTATATTTCAACTTCCTGTCGTTGATCGCCGTTGGTTATGAGTTAAAATCTAAACGATTATAATTGCTACCTCTATCGTATACGTCTCGTCCTTGTCATTTGTGAGCGTTGATATAGGACATTTCGTCCACGCGACATTAGAAATTCAAGTAAGATATACTGAACTTAATAGTTACCTAAGTATATATATAATTACGTCCACTTCAAAGTAAGATGCAGCAGTCTATCTATATCATAGATATGCTCACCTCTACACTAACTCCTCCTTCCCAAAGTCCTATACACATCTAATACTACCCTCAAGCACTCTCTAATAGATACCAGGTAAACGACAAGATATACTCACAGTTCAAAGAGACTACTCCACCAGCACAGCCCCCTTTTTCATTAACCACCAACCCCTTTAACTTTTCCACCAGTCCGAGAGCCAGCAATAACACGTATCCTCAACACAGTTCAACAGCCACGACTACGAGAGCCTTCTACCAAGCCACGCTCTACACCCGACCCGGAATTAGACCTTATAAGTCAAAGTAGCAGAAGGGGTGTTAAGCAAATGGACAATGGCCGCGTTGGTACGGTCTAGCGATATTTCTCCGCCACTCCTAAGAACTGCTACTGCATACTTATGCAATATCCTTATACTATCCTTATGGAGTATCGCTAGGCCCTGGGGTTCGATTCCCTAGGTGGCCGAATCAATCTTTTTTTTTTCGTCATTCGGGCGCATTGAAGGGGTATGATGCTGGTATAATTATTAAGTCAGCCTGTCGTCTTTCGGTAGAAGATATGGGGGGGGAATTGTCTTTTTTTCTTCTTTTTGGTATATTTAAAAGGAAACTAGGTATCTTTTTCTCATTTATCGAACTCGCCGACGGTATATGTGTGATAGAGTTGTGATGCTTTACCGGCGTCGCTGGCGAAATAGTAAATGCGTGCTGTTCTATAATAGGGGTTGCACTCGTCGACGCGAAAATCCGCCAGAATTCGGCACAAGAGGAAAAGGTGCGCATGATTTCAAGAAGCTTTCTAATCAATTTATTAAAATGTAAGGTACCTTAGGTATCGTTATATTTGCAGACATCTAAAAGGAGAATAAGGCGATTATTTCCGCCCTGTGCATTGCGATCACAGAGTTTGACAAGCGAAGAGCTGACTACCCGTGTTACTAAATTGGAACACGGTTAAGAGCGAAATCAAACCCAGTTGTACGAGCCTGGGGAACAAGCAATTGGAGTGCGACGTTGCGATATCCTCTAAATCGTTTCTGGGTGCATATAGGACCAATACTATATATAGCTGAGATCATGATCTGTACATTTTACTCGTAGCATCTGTGTTAGGCCTGGTCTTGCCTCCGTCTAGATGTCGTCATCGTCGCTGCTGAGAACCAAAGAGGGCATATGAGCTACCTGGTGACAGTTGTCATAGGCCTATTCTGGCGAGTTGTGGTTGTAGGCGTTGTCATCGTACACCTTGACAGCTACTCTCTTGCCATTATCGTCACCGAGTGAATACGAAAGAACCCAGCCAGCGCGACGTCCTCCCGTAACACGTGCTGTTGTTCGTCGGGTGGGTGTTTTGGGGGTTTTCAGCTTGAAAGCTTTTCGTGGTCCCTATAAGGAAATGATGGATTGTATGGTAGCTATGACGATGGCACGGGCCGGACATATGGGAGAGGACAGACATCTACATATCCATATAAACATATGTTCCCCTCGAGTTTATTTACTTTTGAAGTCTACGTAGATTACAGTTATCTGGCGCCTCTTCTGATTACTCTACTCTACTATCACGGACTGCCCGCATCAGTTTACCAACTACTAGTTACCACTCTACCACTCTACCAGCCAACCACCTCTCAATACACCCAAGATGTTCTCTCAATTTTCCCTCCTAGCTCTCCTCCCCCTCGCCATCACGGCCACTCCCATCCTCGCACCTCCTGCCGGAGCCACGCCTACTCCCGGCGCCATGTTCGACGAAGTCCACGTCGACTGCCCGAACAACGCGGCCCAGCAGCTTTACAACCAGTGCTACAAGGACACCGCCGCCCTGAACTGCGGCGACAAGAGTGGCCCCGACAAGAAGATCTGCGATCAGCTGTGGCAGATCTGGTGCGGTAAGCTTGGGTCTTTTCTCTTCCCTATGCTCTATAGCCATAGCCCCTATATATATACTTACGCATACATACGCCGGTCCCCTCGCTCCCTGGATAATAGATATACTAACATGATTTGGCTTCATAGGAGAAGGTGCCGGCTGCAGTGTCACGGAGTCCTAATCGCTGCGAAAGTGTTTGATACCCGGGCCTTGAGATAGGGATCGGGTTTGGACTTAGAGACGGGTATAGTTACGTTTGGGGGCTTATCTGGCTACTAGAGAATGAACGCCAGAGGACCTAGTATAGGGATGCGAGCAGAGAAGAGGATGGTTGATTTGATTTGGGGAGTAGGATATAATCGGTTACCGTCACATCTGACAAACAAAAAAGCACCAGAGTTTAATATTTAATTATTCGCCAGTCTAATGTATGTTGTGCCTGTGATTCAAACGTCACGTCACGATTGTATGAGAATAGGAGGTAGTTATGGCATTTACACAAGGTGATTAAACATTGACATTACTAAAAATGTAGCTCTAAACTATTATTTAAACCCATCCCGCCTGTATATATTGTCAAAGCCGACTATCCAATTCATATACTATTATAATATATACCTCTCGTACAACTATGTCGTATATATCATTTACAAAAGCTTCGTAGCAAGTGCCGTGGGTTGTTCGAGGACGATACCCGGCCCAGCGACGACGTTCTCCTTAGTAGGAGCACCGGGAGCATCGGCGATTACGGTAACGATGACGCCCTTAGTCTCGAATTCCTTAGGAATAGTGACGCGGATCTCTTTCTCGGGCCAGCATGACGTGTCGATGGGCACGCTGATGTTGGCAAGGCCGTGGAAGAAGACGGCGTAGTACTCCTTGTCGCTGTCGAACTTGGGCTGGTTAGTCGGGTCGGTGAAGTTGAGCCCGATGTTGGAGCCGGGCGTCAGCGACTTGGTGTTTTTGGCAGCGCTGAGAGCGGGCAGATCTTGGCGCGGCGAGGGGTATAGGGGGTTCTCCGGGGGGCAGCTGCCGGGCACGATGAAGACGTTGGTAGTGTCGAGGATCTGGTTGGCGTAGGGGAATACGGTATCAGAGGGGCCGCCGAAGGGGTTAGTCTTCCAGATCTCGATCAAACTCCAGACTTCGTGGCGCGCCTCGGTTTCGGCGATAGAAAGCATAGCAGCCTGCGACGAGGGGAGCTTAGCATCCCGCACCAGTCCAGTTAAGAAAGCCATGCTAGAGACCTCGAGGACGGTGACGAGAGCTAGGAAAGAGGTAGCATCGTAGAAGGGGAATTGATGCTCGCACGCGCCGGGCTTTACCGACGTGGCGGAGATTTGGTTCTGGAAGATGCGTAGATGGCCGGCTTCGTTATTCCGGATCTCTTGGATACGCTTATATGTAGTGTTGGGCATGCCAGCCTTGATAAATGCCGTCTCGTTGAAGGCTTCAACAGCTTGCTGGTAGAAGTCGAAGATGACCCATTCGGCAGAGAGCAAGTTCTGCCAGACTACATCATCCTCACCAGGCGGGCCGGCCTTAGTCGGCAGGACGGCATCTCTCAAGTTTCCAGGGAAAGGTGCCTCGACGCCATAGTACGTGCTGAAGATTGTACTCTGACCAGGAACTGGGCCATAGCTCGGGTCGGAGAGCTTCTGAGTGTCAGCGAAAGAACCTCTCTTTCCTATGATAGGCTTCGCAGTAACAACAGAAACGAGAGGGCTCAAAAGGCACAGCTGGAGAAGAGATCGGATCGCCATGGTGAAAGTTGACAGGTAAGAAGTCTTGAGGAATGAAGAGACGACTTTGGCAGATTCTCGAGGTTCTCTTGTTGATCCGTCCCAACCGGGACAGACGGCCTGTTTATATTGTTCTGCATATTCTACTGGCAGGGTCGTATCGGGGAACTTCCAATAGCACATTCGCAAGAAACGCCACGAAATTTCCCAGGGGATGTTATGTCGTACATCGAAATTTCGCTTGATGATATCATTACGGGGGGTGCCATCTAGGTATGTGATATGAACTAGACCTTGCAGGACTACCAGTAAACAAGAGCAAAAACAAAACCTGATCAAGACATGCATGAGAGAACAAAGTCGACCAATTGTAAATGGTGGCGTTGTGAAACTAGCAGCTCATGCATCCTGATCGACAGGCCCGTCTGCCGATTTTGGCTTACGCTTTGGCTGCGCTAAAATGATAAACTAATCGGCGGCATTCTGACGAGCCGAAAAGGCTTAAGAGGGATGAGGAAAAGGGATTAGTTCCAAGCCTCCAACCTCTACGCTGGCAGACCCAGAGGTTTGGTGTGGGGAGCTGAAAAAAAAAAAGGTCTATCGTCACCTCCTCTGATAGAGTCCACAGCGATGAGAGCTAACATAGCGGTACCAAATAAATATTCAAACATGACGACAGAATACCTAGATAGTCTTACTGACGAGTCAAGAGGCGAGACGTGACTTGACTTGAATGCTCCGGCTTAGCGAGGTAAACATTCGTAAAGCTAGGAAACCCAAGGTAAATATTGAGACAGGTTGGTAGTACAATAAGGCATTCAATTCATAAAGGACGGTTATAAATATACGATGCAATAAATAGAATACCATGTAAAGCAGTGCCAGGTTACCCAGGTACTTGGTGCGTCCCGGTAGGTTGGGAACCCGAGAAATCACCCACCCCCCCTTGTTGGCTATAAATCCCGCGGCGGATCAGATACCCGGGTAACGTACCTAACCTACCTTGGTATTAGATTACCTTATAGGTAGATAGAGGTCGGTATTGTATATGTGATGACGGCAAAAGAAGCAAGAGAAAGTGGTATCTTTCTTGGTATAGGTATCCACGGAACTGCCTAGGTTAATTGCTGGTCAGGATGCGTACGCCAAGAAAGCGGCTCTGTAGCTAGCGAGATCTAGCGTTACGTTATATCTGAAGCCAGCGGAAACCAAACAGGGTGGCTATCGGAAATCTTTTTTAGGCGGGGAGGGCTGTTGTATTCATCCGGGAACCGAAAAAAGTTGAAAACTGATAAAAAGGTACCTAGGTTAAGTGGGAGCGAGCGGACACTAGGTACCATGGGCTGAATAGACGGGCTAAGACATTCATATAACAAGAACGCCATCGTTATTTGTCCATCGATCAATTTCATCAGCTGTTGATTCAGGCAAGGAAAATAACTTTTGCTGCCATTGGCTTGGCGGAAGATATAGCGTCTTTACTATGACTTGGATATTTACAGCAATGATCGACGCTGCTTGAATAGTTGGTATATTTGTTTACCTTGTATATTCATTTTAATAGTTGTGAAATATCTCGATGATTCAATCATCCCTTTATAGGGGCTCGTTTATGAGAATAGGTAAATATACTTTAGAAGATATGTAGTAGCGTGTAACGATGACATCTTTTACGTAGTCTTTTGATAATACTAATTTCTGTCGATTTAAAATAGTATCACTGATAGGTAGAAACATGACGGCTTCTTTTTCCTACATTAGGTGGTTTACGTGTTAGTGTATCCCTAACCTCCGCTGTAAATCTTGTCAAGCGGTCCGGTAGTAGCCACATCCGGTACGGCCATAGATCCAGAACGTAAAATGATCCCTGTCCCCGTTAGTTGTGTAAGTGAATAAACATTTAATCAATTTGATTTTGACCATTAATTTAGGCAAACCACTCAAGGTTTTAAACTCCTAGTTAATATTTACTAACTAGTCTCTGTACTTAGTGTTTATTCCCGAGCTTCTAAGGACCTGTTTATGTAAAACCTACCCACCGAGCCACTATTCAGTATTTCACTTATACAACTTCGATGGCCCTGAATACCTTCGCAATATATTTCGATAACCTCACCATGATGAGACTTACACGAAATGTAATTCTTCGAATTAACTTATCGTACCTTAGGTAGGTAAGTAGGTAGTTATAAATACCTAATAAACTAAAAACACCGCCCTAGGTACCCAAGGCACGGCAGGAAAGGAGGGTATCTCATGAAGTCCCAAGCAATATACATACATACCACCTATCCAACCCCAACATTACCACCCAACCCAATCATTGAGAACAACCTCAATAACCCTCAAAAAACTTCCCAATAATCTCCGCCGACCCCCTCGCCAACTCCCTCACCTCCTCCCCCAACTCCCCATTCTCCGCCTCCTGCTCGAGCCGTCTGCGCCAGAAATCCCACCTGACCGAGCACCGCCTAGCCAGCTCCGCGCCCTTCTTGCGCCCGTACCACGGCAACTTGTTCTCGCGCGCCCCCAGATCCGCGACCCTCAAGTCCGGCGACACCCCCTCGTCCGAGCGCAGATTCCACATGTACCGCCCCGCGATCTGCAGCCACACGCACGCGACTGTGATCCTGACCGTCATCTGCGTGCGCGCCGGCGGCCCTTCTTCCCGCGGCCTGTTCTCCACTGCTTCGCCGACCGCCCAGTCGCCGTAGACGGCTAGAGCGCCGCTCGCGCCGCTGGCGACTAGGCGCGCGACGAACGCGTTCACGTTCGTCCACGCGTGTTGCTCGGGGACTGTCCAACCCGCGCCGCAGCCGCAGCAGTCGTTCCAGGCCTCGCGCGCGCTGGGGCCTAGCATGCTGAGCGTGCTCCAGAGCGTGTCGGTTTCCCAGATCCAGTTCCGCTTTAGGGGGATGGTCATTGGCGAGGGTGGGGATGGATCGGGCCGCTGTTTGAGGGCTTGGACGAGCGCGAGCAGCCGCTCTTGCTCGACGGTGTCGGTCCAGGGGATGCGCTTGGCTGCGTGCAGGATCCCGTACCAGAGGGACCAAAGGTGTCCTTCTGTGTTGAAGGTGTCGGTGTCGGTGTCGGTGTCGGTTTCGGTTTCGTTGGCGGGGAGGGAGGGTTCGGGCCAGTCTTCTTCGGGACCCCACTGGGAGAGGGGAAGGTTAGTATGTAGGTATGTATGTATTTCCTCGACTGTTTCCCCTTTTATGGTCTTCTTCTCCCAAGTCTCTACTTAACTACTAGGTACCCAGGATAACGTAAGGAAGCATCCAAAGCAACTTACCAACTCAAGCGCCTTCTCCGAGCTATCAATCGACCTTTGACTCCGCGCCGTCATCTCCGCATAATAGTACGCCCTACCATAATCTGCCGTCGAATACGCCTTCTCGATAGGCGCAGCCAACTTAGTTACAGCTGTCTCTGTATCGATATCACCGGCAAGAAAAGCGTCGATAGTTTCGGTAGGGCCGATGAACCAATTCCGTACCTTGGCGATGGCGTCTATTTTGGCCGGCTCGTCGAGCGTGTCGTCTTGCACGATTGCTTCTACCTTCTCCGCCTCTTTCAAAGCCTGGATTTCGTGCGGGGGGAGTATATCGGGGCCTTCGAAGAGAGGACTTTCCCCTGCCGAGGGGAAGAGAGCACCCTCTTCCTCTTCCTCTACCCATTCTCTCTTTGGCTTTTTGTCTTCCTCTGCCATATTGAAGCGTAAATGTGAAAAAGTGGTAAGTTGAGAGTGGTGAGACAAATTGACAGATTAAAGTCAACTGTTAATAACGCCTAGTTTATGAAAATCTATATAGTTAACTTGAGTTTGTATGTTCTAGTATTCTATCAAATACTAGTTATAATCATGTAGTAATAAAACCGGATTACTCAAATCGGCGTCATCCCTACGTCCATTGCGCCTCGCGGCGAGCGCTGGGCAAATGCTTAGCCAACAGCGTGGAGTACGATCTGCAGTTTTTGACTGGTAAGAAATCCGACTATTACATAGGTCCCCCCTCTCGTGACAGTGACAGGGGCCGTGAATGGTCAAGACCAGCCCTATCTAAAGATCGCTCATTCATGTTTCTATAATAATCGCAATAAGACGTAAAAGATGAAAAATACCCAAGTCATTATCATAGACATTAATTCGTTATTTCCGGAACTAAAGGTCCCCTCCTCTAATCGTACTTAACTCCAATCATGCTTAAGAGTTTAGAGTTAACGAGTTGCCTATATAGGTACTAGTATACCCTACACCAGCCATCAGACAGGCCATGATGGACATCAGATATTAATCGCTAAGGAATACAATTGGCTTTCTCATAAATCTGCTTGCTATTTATCCCTTTCCAATGCTAGTTTATGTATGCTCCCTTGCTTCTAAAGTCAAGTGGTGTAAAGTGACTTAGTTAAGCTATAATAAATACGTGCTTTTTCTTTACTACAATACGAAGACTTCGGGCTGTTGAGACACTTTTTTCCTTGATTTAAAACAACGCTGATCCTGAGCGGATCTTTATTTCGTTACGAGCATAGATTAATTAAGAGCTAACCAACGTAGTTCTATCGGCGTCGTACACTGCTTAAAACACATAAAGGGGTATAATATAATAGACGTCAAACAGTCTTCCATCTGTTACGCAAGCAACATTCACGGATAAACCCTTCCAACATATTTGAAACTGAATAGATCCTCGGGATCTGGCTCATACTGCAAGACCTCGTCGTTAGATATGCCGTAGAACATCGCCTCCTCGGTCGCTGAGATCGCGGTGAAGTTCACCGACGATGGGCCCCCGTTGAAATTGAAGCTCGGTATAGACTCGAAGTGGGTGCCCGTCCACCACATACCCGAAACAGTACCGTTGGGGAGCAACGCGAGAAACATCGGCAGACTGAAATCATTTAGGAGCGTGATAGCGAACTGTAGGCTCGGTTCGGGTGTTGGTATGTTGTCGATCAAGTCTAAATCTTGTTCCGAGTTAGCAACTGGACAACATCCCCAGACATATGATGAGTGGCAAAGTCGCCTTCGAGGAAAAACTTACCGGGAACCCAAGTCTCGACATATATAGTCTGTTGCATGATGCCAGCTTCTGCTGAGTGGAGAGCCTCCGACACTAGATTCAACCGAACAATCTCTATCTTGTCGTGTGCGTCCAGTTGGGGGATCAGAGCCAAGCTAGAATTCTCCGCGACAGATCTCGCCTGGACCGCCATGGTCGGGGTTTGCCAGTCGGTCGAATTGGCGATATTTATATCACCTCCAGGGGTCTGGTAAGCCACGGCCCAATTACCCCAGTCGTTCGGGCAGTTATCAGACCAACAACGCTGCCACGCGGCAGCGAGCTGAGAACCATGAAGTGTTTCTACGGTACCACTACCACTTAGATCGTATCCCCAGCCGTTTGGCGATGTTTTGGCGTGTCTTAGCATGAGGGTACTTATATAGTTGGCGGGAGTTATGAACCAGACATGCACTTGATCCTTGCCGTTATAATCGCACGATGTACTCGCCAGAGGTGTACCAGCTATCGGATTTAGCGGCGTCGCATGACCATCCATAATTTTTGTGATATTGATCGTTTCCCAGGTCTTATTCTGCGAATCCCACCTCCGTGCGATGATAGAGTTATACGTGTCCTGAAAGAAGACTGTCCGGTACGTGTTGCCGTCGGTCCCCGTCATATTCGACGACGCCAGCTTCGATATATCGAGAACATTGGTATTATGGCTTTGCGACGGGTTACCATCTGTGTCTGTACCATTACTAGGAACCGGTCGCGGATCGTTTGAGTTCGAGTCATCCGAGTGTTTAGTAGAGTAGTTTTTGCGTGATACGCCCCCTGCGACTCCTCCCGCAATGGCACCGATTACCACAAGTATTCCGATGGTGAGAATAATATAAAATGTACGTTTTGGTAGACCACAGATCTTGGCTGGCGTAGTCGTAGCGCTGGGATGCTCTTCCTTCTGGTGATTGACAACTTCAGGAAAATAACCAGCAGCCCCCTCAACCTCGAAAGGAGCCACTTGGGGGGTTATACTGTCCGGGTGATTAACCACCTCTTTATTTGTGTTGCCATAGCCATCGCCAGGCGGTCCATAGTTCTCGGCACCGCAAACCTCCAGCGTGCTGTAAGGTAATGACATGGCAATAGGTGAGCTTCATTCAAAGCCTCGACTTCTACGGCAAAGATTCCATGTGAGAAGTAAAGGTGAATGTAAAACAACCTTCGTGAGCCCTACTATCGGGCCGTCGTTAACACAGCACCAAACCAAATATGGCATGTATGCGCCACGAAGAGGTACAATATCTCTTGTGCCGGTGTTAGACCAATCATAGACGTCAATACGAATATAATAGCCTCCGGTGTTACCACAGTTCTACCCAGCCCGCGGCGTGGCGCCGGGTGCTGGTCTTGGCAAGGCATAGTAGCGAAGAGCAAAGATTTATGCAAGATTCACCTTGATAATCTTAGTTTTCGCCACGGAGTCTGTTTAGATTCACAGGACATCTTCGCAAGAAGACGATGTAGGATTAAGATGCCGCGTATCTTTAACAGTAGTAATTTTCGCCCAAGTTGTAGAGAGTCGATGAAAAAGGGGGGAGACTGAGTACATGGCGTTCAGCCACTCAAACATCTGAATCTCCGATGAAGGGAGAATGAGACATGACCGGCCGGATACGGAAATAGGATGACGTTAAATGGCGTCTATGTGCCTTGTCTATATGTAGGTATCCGGGTTACCGGGTACAAATTGGATGTGCCCGAGAGCCTGGTCGATGCTATGGTCAAGCCACACTATTAGTAGTGTGATGAGGTGATGAGGTTGACGGTTGATATTTATAATAAACCCTGAATCTCTCTTAGTCAACTATCTGAGTCTTGGTGATTCTATATTGGCCTTCTCCCTGCTGGGTTGACCTAGATCTTGAGAAGCCTTGTCTATCATATAACTGGCTCCCTGGTAGATCTTCTATTAGCATATACCAAAAGCAACGTATTACTCTTCGTACCTAAAACTCCGTAGAAATCGTGTTCTCATTCTCACAGCAAACTAGACTCGTAGCGATTTTGGTTTACTATCAATCGTATTACTGCTATTATGCATAGTGTTCGTTTCTCTTTCGACTCGAAGCGCCGACCCGGATTATGCGACACGAAAGGGTACAATGTTGAGGCGTGACATGGCCGACGTCCCTCCATGCTGTCCTAAGATCCTCAGATGCTTTTTTTATCATCACCCAACCGTCCGTAAACTCCAATTAACGAAACTCCTATAAGTGTACACCATATTACTACCACCTCCCCTGCCCAGTGTCCCGTCGTAGCCTCTCTTTATGATATGTCGTCATCAATGACCAAATCACTAATACAATGCTCTAACTGCCATAGAAGAGGTAGGTAGCTCCTAGCACCCGAGTCCGTCATTCATATCGGAATACAAAAATCTTCAACTTGAAATGGTGATCCAAATATCGTCAACTACGGGCCATGTATCTGGACTAGCAATATCAACTTGCGCTTAAGCCTTTCGGGATCGAGTTGTGACTCCGTTGGTCTTAATTCCGGTAGCCTTAGCTTGCGGTATTTGCGTCGCGTTGGCAACGGTGTGATGATCCGGAAGAGGAGCCTGCGACATGCGACGAAGAGTCTTGCGTGTGCTAGGCGCCCTGTGGTCCTTCTTATAAGTAGCGAAGTAGAAAGAGATGAAGAGAACCAGGTAAGAGGTCAAAGTACCGATACCAGCGAAAGCGGCAAACTCTTCTCCGGCACACTTGCCTGCGCTCGGCATGTTCGGGAAGTAAGTAGATGTGAAGTATGTGTACGAAGCGAAGTAGACGAATCCTGCTTGCGAATTAGTTTTGCGCCCTGTCTGAAAAAACGTCACCACTAAATATTCTAACGTACCAAGGTCAATGATGAACTGAATGATCTGCAGACGGGTGATCCATTCCTTCCACCAGATACGGATTCCACGAGCACTCTGAAAGTAGTACCAGTACATAACGACGTGGACGGTCAAGTTCAAAGTAATAACGACCCACGACACAGAGGTCGAACCGAGGAGTTGAGTGTAGCAGAGGAATGCAGTAGCGCCGTGGTGGTAACAGTGTAGGAAGGCTATTATACGTTAGAAACACCGATCCTCCACATCTATTCAGGATTTGCGCTTACTCAAGGGCTTCTTCTTCAAGAAGAGGAAGACGGTATCCAAAAGTTCCAGGTACTTGGTGAGGTAGTTCAGCTAACTCGGGTTAGCTTCATCTCTTCGTTGCAAATAGGGGCTGTCAGACGAAAACTTACGTAGTAAAGGACTACCAGAGGTTGCGTCCAACCGCCGTCAGTATCGCAGATCGTAAAGAAGATGCCATGGCGAACGACAGTTGGTAGCAGTTGCTCGATGAATAGCGCTAGAAGTATACCACTAATAGCGGTAAGATAGAAGTTGTGGATCAAGAAGAAAGCCTTTAGCTTAAAGGGCTCTCTATTGCGCATATACTCGCGACCACCAAAAATGATTAGGTAGTATACGACAATAAACGTCAAGGTCTCCTTCAGAGTAGACATAGGTGTCTTGCCAGCCACGAACCGAAAGTCGTCAGCAGGGTAACCCGCTACCACTCCGAAAGCCTTGCTAAAATAAGGCCATAATTGTATGCCAAAAGGTCGGTCGAGTGTCGGGACAGGAAAAGCTTCCCAGATAGCGGCGGGGGCCGGGGAAGCCATGATGTAGAGAGGTAGTCTATATTAGACAAAACTGAAGCGTATGCTCGAAGTCGCGTAGTGATTTGCGCTCGATATTTCAAGAGAGGCAAGAACTAGCAAGGCTATCCGCGACGAGCAGCTCAAGTGGTAAGAAACGGCCGTTTGAAGGAGTGACTTGAAGTATTATAGACCTGCGATGATCTCGCCGGTTGGGTAAGAAGAAAAAAAAGAAGAGGTAGAAAAGGAAAGGGAAGGTTGGGATCTGTGAAAAAAACCCTCGATTTACGGATCTCGTGAAGATGGAAAAAAAGTTGAGAAAGACGGGATTTCGGTTCTTCATAAAAACTCCACGCCAACAATAGGAGACGCGACATATTCAAATTCTGATTGGCTAATTGAATAATTAGACCAGTTCCATAAGGATTTACCGATCGGAATTGGCGGGATCCTCGGAGGCCGTTCTAGGGATAAGGCTGTTAATTGTACTGTGCAAGTACCACAAACTAGCACGTGCTTCTCATACACCTGCCTATACTAGCTATACTTTGCGTATTAGTAGCATTAATAGCGCACATACTATCCGCGATGCTTATTCGTATACATAGAAGGTACTTGAATTTTCCCCATTATACCCAAGGTGTCCAAATGTTTGTACCTGCATATGCCAATACGTTCATTAATAAAGTGAAGCCTATCCGTTGAGGTTATTTATAATGGAGGACTATCAATTTGTCAATGCGATTCTTTTCTATACGCATTAATTGACCTGCGAATACACCCCTCTATCAGGTCGATTAGGATCTTTGGTACGTGCTGTCTCGAATCTCCAATCTGTCTTATCGCCCGAGTTTCAGGTTGCATATCATGGTTTTGGAGGGCTTACGGTACAACTTAATACTACATAGGTAGTCACATATGCAGTTCATAGGGGTGTATAAGATAAGATAACTTAATCGATCTAATATATACATGTATAGGTATATAAGAGATCAACCTCGGCCAATTTCGAAATATGGATACCTTTTTTCTTTTCGGTAATATGTAAACATTACTTGTAGACACGTATTCAGATGTTCGACTGCGAAAAACGGCTCGACCCCATATGTCAACAAAAATAATGAGCGATGCAACAGACAAGCTGAGCTTAAGGGGCTTAAGGTTAGTATGCATTTTAGCGCGGGGAGCTAATAAGGGATACATCTTGAGGGGAGACTTTACATTCTGAACAGTGGCTGATAAGACTGTCTCTGATATTACATAGACAATTAAACTTTTTAAATCTACTAAACCTATAAATTGTTTTTTTTTTGAGACTATATTTTCAGTGAGTCAAGTTATAGTTTAAGTTTTTGTAAGTCCGTTTCATCCGAAAGAGGTCAATGTTAGGAGCACTTAGACTTCGTAAGTAACTTAGCCTTTACAATAAGATACGGTTCCAAAGCTTTGAACAGGTTTAAGTAATACTAGTTATAGTTATGGATACGCAGCAATTTTTAACCAAGTCCCATTTAAGACTTGGCTCGTAGACAACAAGCAAGTTACTTAGAGATCATGCAATTATTAGAAACTAGAGTAGAAAGCCCTGCTGACATAGATATTAATTTGAAGCCGGATGAGAATATATCAAATTGATTCGTTTCAATAATCAAGTAACTAGAATTATTGCGTTGCAACTTATCAGCTTTCTTGGAGATAAAGAAAAAGACATAATGATATTATCTAGAATTATAGACTTCCAAGTCTAATGCTGTCAACGATAAGATTCTTTATGTATTCTTATCAAGCTTGGGCATTATAATCTTCCTAGGTGATAGAACTAATCGTAGGGTAACATCCATAAATATTTGACGAATAAGAATGGAAGCAATACCAATGACGTCCAAGCCCAACACGCAATTCACATGACTTGCTGCTCTCGATCCGCCTGCGCTGCAAGGTAAAAAAGTCCAAGTCCAATCGCCAAAAGTATAATAAAGTTAACGCGAGGAGTACCCCGGCGCTTGGACCAACATGCTTAAGTCGGCAGCTGTGCTAACCTAGTTTAGTTGTAGAGTGAGCTCACTGGCAACTGCTGTGCCCGTAACAGGCTTACCTATGCCCCCTCCAGCCCCACACCCCGAAGGCCGACGGACCAATAAGCACCCACTCTTTTGTGAGCCGGCCTTCCATTTCTCCCCCATCATTCGATTGTAAGAAATTGTTTTTGCGGTTAACTTGAGTCGAGAAGAAAACGGCCACCAAATCATATCGCACAACGCAAACCTGTGTTATCCCATCTCGCAACCATCCTCTTTTTTATTTTCTTTATTTGTTTAAACCGACGACCAAAAAATTAACGTCAAGTTACTCGACGCACAACCAAGCTATTAATTTTTTTCTTCGTCCTTGTTGCCGCATCCGACCAGCAACTTCCGGTCTCCTCTTTTTTTCTTCCTCATTTTTTTTCCTGGGTCCTCGAATAGAAAGAAAAAATTATGTCGTCCATGTCCCTCCTCAGAATTGCCTCGCGGGGCCCCTCCAAGACCTTCTTCCGCGCAAACCGACCCGTCGCTCCCATTCGGTCTACCGCGTCCTTCGTTCCGGGTCTGATTGCCGGCTCGAGCCTCAACTTCAGCACTTCCGTGCCCCGAAAATCTGCTGCGCATCACGAGGAGACGTTTGAGGAATTTACCGCTAGGTAAGGACCTCACCTTTTTTTACGCAGCATTTATGTCGACTCGATGAATCTACATAAAAGATATGAAAGCAAGCTTCATTTATATCCAATTGAGGTTAATTGGCGACATATTGAAGCATCTATGACGTTCAATTGGTTACTAGATGGGGTTGTGGGAGCTTGAATATCGCTCAATTGGTCATTAAGCGACCTCATCAAATATTAAATTCAAACTTAATAGCTAACCCGAGTTTCCTCCGCGCAGATACGAGACCGAATTTGAGAAGGTGCAAGATGTTTTCGAGTTACAGGTTCGTCAATTTCGTTAATTTTGAGTCAAAACAGCTTCCTTCCGTTCTTCCATTCTTCCATCAAACCCCAGCTTCTTTACCTCGGACACCTGCTTTCGGGCACCTCAACTAGGTCGACCCACTATCCCCACACTTTGGCTTATAATCTCCCATCACGACGTCAGCATATCATAAAAAACGATTAATGAGAGAAAACAGCTATGCTAACATATATGTAACTATAGCGCAACTTAAACAATGCCTTCGCCTACGATCTAGTCCCCTCTCCCTCTGTCGTTGAGGCTGCACTCCGCGCCGCCCGGAGAGTCAACGACTTCCCCACTGCCGTGCGCATCTTCGAGGGCATCAAGGCCAAGGTCGAGAACAAGGATCAGTACCAGCAATACCTTGACGAGCTAAAGTCCCTGCGCGAAGAACTCGGCGTCGTCCTAAAGGAGGACCTATACCCCGAGGTAGCCAAATAGACGACCCCACCCTCCTGATCTCGCTACGAACCCCTCATCGAGGCTCGAATTTTTCTTTGTCGGGGAAGCGAAAAGGGCGAGACAGGCAGCACGAAGAAAATGCATAGGTGTGCGGGCTAGTGTATCGCGGGGAGCTAGCTTAGAAGGCGGGCAGGAAAGCGAAGATGAGGTTAGGGGGAAATAGAAGAGAGAGTTGATCCGGCATCATATCGTGTCTCAAATCTGGTTTGTTTCCCGCCTGCATGTGTATATTGTCTACTACTTACTACCTTTACCACTTATTACTTACAACACTACTCCGCCAAACAACAACAGACGAAATTAGACGCCGAAACAACCCCTATCTCTCTCGGGGCCTAGAGAAAAGTAGTTTAAAAAAAAAGATGAAGCATTGCAGAAGATGACCGCATTTTTATGAGTGTTAATTATCTTGGGCTGAGGGTTTCTAGAGGCGAGAATCTCGTTTTATACTCTGCTGTAAAAGCCTATCCCATATAGCTACCTACCTCCTAGATACCTAGCTAACCTAACCTTTCTCCCCAACCAAATTTAATACCCCCTTTTCAATTGTCCCAAAGTTATTATTGTATCTTTCCTGTCCTAACCTGTAGCTCGGAAAGAAAACTGCTGGGGGTGGATGAACCGACTAATTCTGCTGATGTGAGCACTTCCGTTACACCGCAGAGGATTAATCGTAAGATGTCAAATATGTAAAGGTGAAAATAGGCAAGTTTCCGCGTGTACGCGTAAGGTACTAGTTGAGGTATACATGACAAGCTTGCCTACCTTAGGTACGTAGCATCGCTTTCCTCGTAGGTACCTAGGTACCCAACCTAGCCTATAGGATAGATGGTAATAATAGGGGTTGAAGAGTCATAATTACACATCTACAATGTCTTATGTACTTTACGATATTGTTACTTAGCCTACCGGGTTACGTTCATTATTGTGGCATGCATTGAATATTCTTACGGCTTCACCTAACAACTATAATGAATTTTCTCTTCTCATATTAAAGAAGAATAAAAATCATAAGATTAGGAATGAGGTATTGTTAACGCAACGCAACGCAGACCATGTATTCACCGTATACTGTCTGCAAATATACACCATTTGCCTTTCGCCTATTCCCCTTATCGTTCATCGTCATATAAATCAGTAATAATAATAGCAATAGCAAGTAACAGCAGTAACAGCGATCCTAGTATCCCTAGGCTTGGAAGTCCATCTATTTAGCTAAATCAATCGATCATATGCGCCCTGCTGGGACAAAAAACGAACTGAAAAGGAGGAGCCTGAAGACCCTCTGTCCCGACGCAATCTTTAATACAAACAAATACAAACGCGTTGATGCCTTCCTGCCTACCGGGTGCAAAATCGAAAAAGTGAGGATAACGAACGTCCTCTATTCCTTTCCCTCATTCCATTGCCGTAGGGGGGGATCGTGATGAGATCTCAACACACCATTTTGAGATATAATACGCCGCCATAATCTCGCACGAAGACGAGCCATTGGGTTTTAGAAGCTCTTTGGCGGTCATCAGAACCTGGATTCTCGCAGATGGGAAGCTCGACTATTTGGAACTGGCGTGCCAATTCCGCCTCCCGTCTCGAAGATTCCTGTCGCTGGAGCAGGACTAGTACCACGACTGCTAGAGCTACCCTTAGTGCGACCACCGTTGCGAGGACTATTGACGCCAAACGCGCTTAACCGCGGGCTTCGAGGAACACTACTCTGTCTCGTACCCCGCCGGGTTTCCTTCAGCATTCGCAGTTCGTCCCGGAGTCGGTTAAGCTCTAGATCTCGGTCGCGAACGATGTTCTTTTGCTCATTAAGTAGTCGCAGAAGTTCCTTGCTCTCGCTCTCCGCATAAATCTTGTTTATTTTAACTGCGTTATCGTTGGCCTTGCGATTGAGTTCTTCGACTCGTTGTTCGAGCGCGCGATTCTCTGTCTGGAGCTCCGCAGCTCTCTGAGATGCATCTTGGTAGGCATTCTTGGCATATTCCAACTCGTTGTTAGTTAATGCAGCCTTCTTTTCTAGGCTCTGCGCCTTGATTTTAGACTCCTCGACCTCTTTCTCCAGTCGTGCCATCTTGGCAACCTCGGGATTTGCAGACTTAAGAAGCGATTCATGCGCTGCAGATAATCGTTTTTGCTGCTCCGCAAATTTCTCCTTTAGATCGTCATATTCTCTCCGCTTAGATTCGAGACTTGCACTGGTCGCTAGGGCTTCCTCCTTAGCCTTGTAATACTGGTCTTCGTAGGTTCCGCGGTCCTTTAGGGAAGTCATGAATTTCTCTTGTACCAACCTGACCGTGGAGGCATAGTTGTCGACCTCTTTTTTAGATCGATCGCTGAGCTGACGGAATTGCTTTTCTCTCATTTGGCTCTCGCGCAACTTGGCTTCGAGGCTCACGACCTACTTGATATTAGTCCACAATTTATAATCGACAGAGTTGAACCGACCTTAGCTGATAGCTTCTCTAACTTGCCCACTGAAACTGAGAGCATTGCCTTCGGCGACTCGTCCACCGTGTCATCTCCGATAAGACCTTTCAGCGAGTCACTTATGTGACTCACATGAGTGACAACTGTAGGTTGTGATACTCTGGGGCGCTTAGAGGAAATATCATCATCTTCGCCCTATTCATTGGGTTAATATATTAAGTACCCACAATGGAAATTACAGTAAGTTGGCTTACCTCGTGAGACCTCTTCCGACTAGCGGGAAGTTGGTCGGTTCCAAAGGCCCCAAGAACGGACTGCGATACTTGCGATTGAGAGTTGGCAGCGTGTAAATCCTCGAACACATCCTCTGGCACCTCGTATGGCTCCCAATAGAAATCTTCCTCATCCGGGTCTTGTATGTACTTGCAGAAATTCTCTGCTGCCGAGTGAAATTTGACAATTAAAGAGTCGTCAACATCTTCTATGTACCGCATTGCTTTGACTAGCGCAAGCACAAGGACGTTCTTTCGTTCCAGCGGTTCCAGGTTCTCTGAGACACGCATATTAAGGTGCTGGATGGAGCATATATTCGTTAGAACCATCAATATAGAACGCTCTCGAATCGTTTGTGGGAGCAACTCAGGCCGATATGTATGATCGTATGCTATGACTACGTCGATATCTTCGGGTATTGACGAGGAGTTATCAAGAGTCGACGAAATGGCAACGGTCAGACTGTGTTCGGCACTAGAAGGACTGACGATCTCTAGGCCGGATCGAATATAACGGTAACCTCTTGTTTCTATAACGTTACCAAGGAAATCCATAACCTTCCCGGGACGGGACAATATGAGAACTTTCTTATTCGAATTCTCTTCGGCCAAGTAAACAAGTAACTCGGCAACAAATGCGAATTTCGCATTGGTATTAACGAGGTGCTTCGTTAGCTCTGCAGGTGTAATAGTTGTTGTAGTTTCTATAAACGGTGGCAGGTCGCAAATATCGAAAAGACGAGAGAACATCTCGTCAATTTTCGATATTGTTGCAGGATGCGGTATTTGATGAGGGAAAACACGAAACGCAGCGTTATACTCGCGAATAAGCCCCTCATTGTCGCGAAGTACGTCGTTATATACAGGCCGACAGCTATTGTAAAATGGGAGTGTAACGAGATACTCGTTAGGTCCAGTGGGTATATAGGGGAGAAGGCTCCTCGGATAGCTAAGAGGTGTCTCATCTTCGTCGTGCGGTATAACAAAATCGTCTGGTATCTGTAGGCTGTTATGGAGAGCATCGTGTACTGGTATTGATGGGCTAGCATCCATATCATGTTCAATAGATAACGTCAAGGCTGATGGGTCTAAGGTTGCAGGCTGCTCTTCTTCATGGATATCATACCCTACTTCAATAGGGCCGCTTTCCTCTAATCCTAGCTCGACCTCCTTTTCTTGCTCAACGTGCTCAATGGGTGTTTGGGTAGTCTCGGGTACTAGTAATTGACGATCCGAAGATATGTCGTTAGCAGCCGTCTCTAGAGGCGGAGCCAGGAAAGGTTGAGATGTCAGGTTTACTGGAGTTAAGGGACTAATATCTCGGGAAGCAGGAGCTTGAACAATCGGTGCCTCCTGAATGTCCGGTTGCGGGCCTGCTAAAGAATCCACGTCGGTGCTAGCTGCTCTAGAAGGAGTCTCTGTTGGAGCCTTTCGTCGTGGGAAAACCTCGTTTAGGGCTTCAAAGTGGTGTTCCCGGATTAATCTCAACCTCTCGCGTGCCGTAACCCGGGCGGGGGCGGGCTGGTCGGTATCCATATTCGTAGGCGCGGCCGGTTGCTGAGATCCGAATGTAGGTGGTCCAAAAGGCACTTTGTTTGCTCCAAACTCTACTGATTTCCCGGGAATCGTTTGCGAAAGCTCTGCGTGACTAGACTCAGGTTCTAATTCAAGTTGCTGGTCTTCTGAGAATGATGTATTTCTAGTATTGCCGTCCAATTCACTTAAAGCTTGGCTTGAATTTTGCGGGTCGCGTTTGTCCTGCGCGTTTCTTAGTACAGTGTCAGGTGCAATTGGATCGTCGTAAACTGTAAAGGTCGCCTCGCTATATGTCGCGAGCCCTCCCTGTTGGCTACTGAGGGGCAGCACGACTTGAGCGGCCTGTGAGTTATTACTTATTATATGCGCCTGGCTTTGATCTTGGCTGATGTGCTCGTCCCAAGCTAATTCGTGAGGGAGAGTAGATGCAAAACTAGTCGGCTGGGACGTTGGGGGAACAACGTCAACGTTGAGGCCTTCTTGTGTCAAGAACGTAGGATTTCCTTTACCAATAGTGCTCTGCGAATCGTCGAGCGAAGCCGAACCTGCAACGGTCCCAATTAGAAAGGTCGAAGTTGACACGTTTCCCTGGTTTCCAGTAAAGGGACGATCCGGCTGACGCGAAGGAATTTCTGTCGAGTGTCTAAACGATTCTGGATGCTGAAGCCTTTCTTCGCGCTGGGATGAGACAATAGCACGTCCCTGAAGTTGACTTGCTCCAAACGAACTGAAGTGGTCAGGGATACTGCTATGCACATCAGAAATCAAAGCGCTGTGTATCTCCTGAGAATCAGGCACGACCCTCTGCTCTTGGCTCTCAAGCTCGGATTCGTGAGCTAGTGCAGCATGGGTATCAGTAAGCTGAGAAGACTGCTGGCTATTTGTTTGCTGCGAATCGGGTGGCACGCGCACGTATTGATCCGCGGGAAATGTTGGGTCGCGCGGCAACCGTATCACTATGCGAGATTTGTAAGGTTTTGGATCACCTTGAATATCGTCGGAGGGGCGGTTATGTAAGTTGTCGTGATTCAGCTCACCCTGCCGCTCTGCCAGCTCCTTAGAATGACCAAGGTCATGACCCACACTCCTAGGGAGTGACGGCGGTTTCTCTGTTATTTTAAGCCTTAGCTTGGGTAATTTCGATGCAGGTTCCTCGCTAAGCCCTGACTCATACAAAGATGAGTGTTCCAAAGGGCGCTTCTTATCACGACCTTGATGATGCCGATTAGACGTTGAGACGGAGCCGCTCTCCCGAGTATTAAACTCTTGCATAGAGGGACTAATATCGCCAATAACTACGTCAAGTTTATCCTCGGTATACTTGGATCTAGCTTTCCTAACCATCCAATCATTTATCGCAAGGGATGTTACGTTTTGTTTGGGTTCCTATGCTGATTTAACTTCTATACCGATAAAACAAGACCGCATTAAGAACGCATGAGTGAGCATGAAGACTTACCCACGATGGCACATGTGGGTTGCCAGTCTCATCAGTGCCTTCCCAATCGACCAGGTAATATGTCTTCCCTCGCTTAGACTTCTCGTCAATAATATCCCGAATCGCAAACCAGCCGTTTTTAACGTCGTGTTTAATTTCGCTTTTCCCTTGACCGGTAGCATGCGTCAGCTTCTTATTCTTCTTCTTAGTAGACTTTGATGCTTCTCTCGGTCGGGATCGCGGGTGTTGTGGTTGATGGTGTTGTCGGTGGTGGGTATCTAATATATGTGATTTAGATGATTCCGCGCTCATCGATGGTAATTTCCCTTGCGAATAGTCTGAATAGAAACATTATCCATAATTAGTGTCATTTAATAAGATAAACACGTTGGCTCCAATAGCTATGTGGTAATGCTAGTCTCACCAAGGTAATCGTCCTTGGCCATGAGGAGCTTATTTCCTGTCAAGGCATTAGACGAAGGTGTAACCACAGCCGTGCGACGAGGCTTCGATAAGTACATACCACGGCCGAGCGTGGCTTGGCAGGGTCTCTGGTTGGGCAGGGGTAACTAACTCCCGCTGTGGCCGCTGTGGCACTCTTTGCAAACGCTCTGTGGCTAAGTGCTAAGATTGAGGTCCTAGCACCTAACTAACTTGATCGCCCACGGAAGGTAATACTTTGACTTACACCAGATTTAAAAAGTTGATAGTCTTATAAAAAAGAAAAACCTAGATAAATCAACTTAATGAATCTGTGGATATCTAGAAGTAAATAAATTTAATTATATAGTGAGATTTGTGATATGTAAAATTATAGGGGAAAGAAGAAGGGGGGCTGGTAGTTACTGCAATAATGGGACTGAAAATATTAACCCAAGTGTGATGCGCTGTGTGATACCCATATTCAAACGTACGGATCGAGTGATGTAGTTCAATATCCAGGGTCAAGGTACATGTAATTCCTGACTATATAACTTAAGGTAGGTACCTAAAATATGATGATTGTAGGTTTCACAGGACAACTCCAAGGGGAAAGTACTTGAGAATTTATCATATGCACTTTCCAAATCTTATAACCCTTTAGGTATAAACGACTGTCTCAGAAATGACGTGGCGTCGATAGTAGTCCCGTACGTAATTGTTATTGGCTAGTTGCCGACTTTACTTAAGCCTAGACCTTAAAGGCATATATGACATAAATACCTCTTAAGTAGGTATTCATCCATGAGACCTTATAGCAATATGAGTTAATATATATATACTTTATATACCACTATCGCCAAAGAGGTAGTTATTGAATTAAAATCCAAGTAACTCTTAAGATAATATATATATTAGTACTAAGGAACTATAATTGCTTACCCATATACTTAGGTAATTTACGGAGAAGATAAGTGAATAAGATAAACAAACAACTAGAGGTAATAGGAATTACGATATACAACCTAGCTAGGCAACTATAAGAGACGTACAGTATAAAAGCAAAAAAACATAGGTAAACACCTACAAGTACTGATAAAAGGAAACATTAAGGACATGGTACATACAGTAGCGACCCGAGAGCCTGCTTGATAAAATGATATATATCATTACACAAAGTCCTACGCTAGAAATACCATCAGATTTTGGGAAAGTATTGTCCCTTGGGAGAACTTAACAATTATGTCAAAGACTAAATATTTCATACATCAAAAGTCAGATATATAGGTAACACAGCCCTCATATCCAGTCCCCAACCAAGTAATACACAAATACACAAATATCAAAAACCGCCAAACAGGGGTCGCCCCCAACAGAGAATAATAGTAAACATAGTGTCCAGCAAACAGAAAAGACGGGTATAAATCATTCCATCTACTTTTCGCTCCTCCACCCCTAACCCATATCCAAACCCCAGCCTAAAATATGACTCGGTACCAAACGCCTCTCCATTTTCCTATAATTCATACATAAACCCTAATAGGGCCTTGCGATCAAGTTAATAGTACAGCCTATATTCCTAATACAATAGCTTTCCACTACTAACCAGCTTCGAAAAGGTATCGCTAGGTTCCTGGAACTTGTACTCTTCCCCACGCATCACACGATCGACCTCCTCGCGGACAAACGGATAAACGTCCTTCCAAGCGTTACGTCCCATCCAACAATCAAGATGTCCATAATCAGGGACCACGCGGCGACGATACTGGACACCGCTCGCGTGTTCGCCAGTGAACGTATCGGTAAGGATCTCGTAAGTCCTCTCCGTGGACTCGGGGGTTAGGACAGCATTATCGCGACCGACAAATAGCATGATAGGGATACCCTTTAGTCTACGGATATTATCTGGTGTGTCCAGTCGTTCGAATAGGGGGGCGTTACTCATGACACCTCCTTCGTAGCCCTGTTTCATCAACATGTGCAAGAGCGTCATGCTAATACCCCCGAAGAACCGGTCGATCTGTCTGTGGGTCGCCTCGTTAAGGTTACGATGGTTCCAGCATCGGCCCAATGCCATCGTGACACGGTGGCAGCTTGCGTTATTGCAAAGTTCTTTACGCTCATCTGGCATGAGCCGCAGTAACTCGTTAAGACTTCTCTGAATCAAGGAGTCATCTACAGTCGTGCCAAAGTTGAACCAATCTCCCGACACTAATCGGTACACCGTGTCGGCTGGAATTGGTAGTGCCATGATCTTGATCATATTCAGAGTATTCCACTTCGGATTCATGAATACTTGGCTGCAAGTTATGCCCTTGATCCATTTGGCGGGAATTGTGCCGTCGAGTAGGCCGGCTGAGAATGCTACGCTACCCATACAGTGTGCGATAGCGTATATGCGTTCCGGTTCCTTACCAACTTCGGTGGTCTCTTTCCGGATCTTCTCTAGGCAAGCTTTCAGGTCCAGACGTACATCAAATGTCGTCCAGTCTTCTTTCGCAACCATCAACATACAGATACGATGAACGGGAATGAACACCCTATAGCCAGCGCGACGGAAGTAGTTAACAGCGTTATACCGAATGGTAGGGAGTGCATATATCTGATGGTCAACCGAAGCGCCGGGGATCATAAATAGGTTTTTAGGTTCGACCGTTGGGTTCGTGGGTTCCCACTGATATAATCTAGTAACGACGCCATCAGAGGCATGGATCTGATATGTCTTAGTCGGAGGTGTATTGTTTACGAAGCCTGTGTAGGCCTGCGTGGGATATTGCAAAGGGGTGAGTGGTGCTAGGAGAAGCGACATAGACTTCCGAGTAAAAAAGGTTAGGAAGTTGGCTGCGCTTAAGACCTTCTTGAAAATGCTGCTGCCCGTGGGTGTGAGGGTTAAAACTTCAGAAAGGAAATCCTCTGCTCGGATACTCATAATGCCCTTGGCAACGATTTCCCCCAGAAGTCCACATTCATCCGCATCCGCACATTTTCGTTCCGATTCTGAGATCGGCTCAGTGATAGTGACGTATAGGGTGCTAGTCGATTTCCAGAAATGTATCGGCGACAACGCGACAGATGAATCAACTACTTTATAACCATGGAAATGGAGCCATCTTCCATTGATACCACGCATGTCGAAGTCGTACGTCAGGTTTCGAGTCCCAGGTGCTTTTCGATCTAACAAGAACAAATTGAAATCACCTCGCTGTACCATGAATGGGGACCCCTCGAGGGTAGGGCAGACAAAAGTACCGGTTAAGGTTGCTTTATGACTGGGATCGTTTATAATTGACCTGGTGTTAAAGGACTGCACACTGAGGAAAAATCGCGCCGTTTCGCTTAAGGACTTCGCAGTCCTAGCTGCCAGCTCGTATGTGTCTATGTTGTCCCGTTTAAGACCCTTGTCTCGATGGATATGCCCAGTCATGACTTCGGTAAAGCCAAATCCGGATTCATTCATGCGTCGAGCTGATATAATCGCATTCGTCGCACTGTTTAGTTTGGCTGTCTCTTGTGTTTCCTCGATGTGTTCTTTCCAACCACTCTTTCCACGGCGGTGTTTATGTTCAGGAGCACCAAAGAGGTCAAGAACTTTGTTCTGCGTCATATCGATTGTGAGTCCTCTCTCTTTAACATAGTGGTCTACAGACCGTTCAGCCAGAGCAGTGATAGTGGCGAATGGGTTTGCTCCAAGGGCAGTTGGGATAACCGCAGCATCCGTGACGATGAGACCAGGGTAGGTCTCTGTGCCGGAGCCATTGAAGACCTCACCCCTGTGGTTCGTAACGCCAGTCGAACCAGTTCCGTCGCGAGCCATACAAGCACCACTAAAGATTGTTAGCATCTAAGACTTCCACATGATGATGCCAAATAACTTACCCAATTGGGTGAACTGTAACTTGCTGTTCACCCAGCAAGGCATACCAGGGGTTTTGGACAAACGTCCCCCCAACAGCTTTCGTGGCTTTCTCTAATACACGGTTCAGGGTCTTGACATGGTCACTACGGCCGACCCCTACAAACTCAAGGACCGGTTTGTCATCTTTTAGCGTTAGGTATGCTTGGTTACCTAGCTTATATTAGTAACAAACCTCATCAAAAAGTAATAGACGACAAACTCACTATCGTGGGACATGATCAAGTATACTTGTGTCCTCTCAATCGCGCCTTTACGGAAATATGGCCCGAGGAATGCGCTTCCCACGCGAGCGAGATTCGCCTTTACTTTGCCAACAAGACCTTCATCAGTCGGCTCAATACTGCCAGGCAAGAGCTCAAGCATAGCTTGTAGAAAAGGGGCGAATGCTGATGGCATAGACCCTTCCTCAATAACGTAACCATCTAAAGGATTATCGTGGCCTTCTCTGTTGTCGATGATACCGGTAATGCAAGGTCCGATAGGATGAGAAGGGGATGGAGAAGCTTTCCCCATTCCGTTAACTTCATAATCCGTATTATACCTATAGATACCTGTTAGAAAGAATTCACGTAAAACTATAACAAAGTTACATACCCAAACCCTAGGATATCTCCGTTGCCGCTCATGTTCTGGCCTACTTTCCCACTCAGCTCAAGTCCCATATCTTTGCTCCTAAGGAGGATCTCAGTTGTGCCGATAGAGCCGGCGCCGAGAAACACAGCTTTCTTTGCATGAACCCACATAAGGTCTCCATGCAGATTTGCTTTGAAGTGGCCGCGATTTCGTCCATGCCAAGCGAAATAGACAATATACCCGGATTGGTTATATGGTGCTTTAGTTATGTATCGTACTTCGGCCTCACAAAACATATCAGCGCCCCAGTTCCACGCGTCAGCCAGGTACGTAACGAGTGTAGTGTTCTTAGACCCGTCGTTTAAACCAGTGACGTCTTGACCAGTGAGTGCCGATGGAAACATTTCCACACCACAGCTATTTGGTCCATTTCGGAATCGCGTCGTCTGTTTCACACGTCGAAACTTATCTGTCATGTTCAAATACTTTGCCTGCCTCTCTAACAGGTCAAGCTTTGGCAGCTTCGGCCAGTCATCGGGGTACGCTTCTGGCTCTAAGACACTTGCTGCTCTCTTGTAATCTAGTTGATCATATCATTAGCTATTGTGCCTTTTAAGTAGGGGCAGTCAAGTATGCTGTGGCATGGAGAGAAACTTCTATAAAATACCAGGGGTCTTACATTCAGTCAAAGACTCCGGATCTTCCCTAATTTCTTTCGGCCACGCATCTTGTTGTAGCGTATCTTTGTCCGCTTCCAAATATACATTGGCATTTATCAAGCTAGTCCCACCAAGACCTACACTGTGGTTAACATAACGCTCTATACTTCAGCTTTCGTATGCGGTTACTTACCATTGCAAACAACTGCGTTCTGACAGTTCCCGAATATTAAGTGATACATGCCGGTAGGATCGCCACCATTGACAACCTTCTTGGGCAACCAACCAGGGGTAAATTCCCCGGAGTAGTGGACCTGCTCAAGAGCATCACCTGTGCTAACCGGGTACTCTCCGGGCCAGCGTTCCTTACCGCGCTCTAGGAGACAGACCGATTGACCAGCACGAGCCATGCGGGACGCTGCCACGCCACCACCATACCCAGAGCCGATGACAACACAGTCGTATGAGTGGCGCATAAGCTCCACGGGTTTAGATATGCGAGGAAACTGTGCGGTTTTGGGATCATCTCCCCATGACTGTATCCGAGAGAAGGCTCGAGGTTGCTGTTCTCCCGATTCATCATCAATGCTAAACGTACGACCAGGGGTAGGTTGAGCACGGTTCCACGCTTCACTCGCATTCAGTCCATAGAAGCTATGATTAAAGGTATCAGTTGAACAATCCGAAGCGCTCGAGCTACCAGCGTTTTCATGCCCGTTCCAGGTTGCCCTGCTGTTGAGTTTTTTTCCAATCCCGTTCGTGGCCGGCACCTCGGTGGATGTCACCTTAATGTCTTCAGCGGCAACGGCCGTGATATCAGGAATTGCCGACGGCATCGTGGCAATTTTCGGTTTGCCAAGACCGACCTTGATATAGCTGTTTTTTAAGAGCTTCCCACGCAATTAAGTATATGAAGATAGAAAAAGTAAGCAATATCAAGGAAACACCTTGAGAATGAGACAATGGCTTAATGTGGATTAGAAGATTGGTGTAAGATTAGGGTATATGGAGTTTGGATTTACTAGGATAAAATTTTAAGTAGGGGAACAGATATCTCACGCCTCGAAGGACGGTGGCTTCATATATCTGGGGAATATACCTGGGGTGTCAGGCCTTTGTATATCGACACCGGTCTATTGAGATACCTAGGGCTTTATGCGATTGGAATGATGACAATGAGGAAAAGGCGGAGGCTCAACGGTCTGCGGTCTACGGGCCAGGCGACCAACATTGGCCAATGCAAAATACATCGTAGGGGTATTGTAGGGATGGTAACGCTGTTTTCTCATCTTGCAGAACTACTGCAAGTCTAAGAGACCAGGCGGGGCGCAGACCCTTGCTGCTGAGGCAGGGCTGAAAATTGAAGCAGCGATCGTCAGCCCATGCTACTATCCCAAAGGAGTAATATAGCAGTCGAGGTTAGCGAGTCGTCTGCCGAGCCTACAATCCATCGATACTATTGGAGAACAAACGCTAGCCTCGGTGAGATCTAATAATAAGATAGGTATACTGGATTGGTATGCTGTATACATCTGTTGATAGCTGAGCAATAGGACTAGAAAGGTAATATTCCCTCCCTTCCTACCTACCTAGGTACCTAACCTATGTATCACAAAACATAGAAGATATTGTAATTGAAAAGGACTCCGGATATAGTATTAATCAGTACTGGAATGGGCAGTATTGGATATGACGGGAGAGGTGAGATAGGGGTCCTCTCGGAGATACTATGTATGTGTTGGGGGGGGTTTTTTTTGTTGCCAGACGGAAACGATAATAAATGATGAGATTAAGATTTAATTTATAAGACGGGTACATAAGACGGGAACACCTTCCGTAGCTTGCGTACCTGCTAATATAGCACCCATATGTACCCATATAAAGTCAGCACTTGCCTATATGTAATCATTTGAATCACCTAAGAATATATAAGATAAAAAGTGGATTTCTTCTATTATGAGGTATTACGGGTATCTATGTAAAGGAGACATGTGATTTCCCCACACAAGCCCCTTGTTAGTAAGACTTTGTAACTGTAACTAGCTGTAACTAACTGTACCTAATTGTATGCTACATGTAGTTACAAAATTTTAAATGTTCAAGTTACCTACAACATTGAGCGCCGTAGTCGATGAAAGCCCCATATACCGCGCTCTATTCATATCACTAGGTAAATTTGAGCTGAATATTATAGAGGGTCATTATTCGGTTGTTACGGATGCTCTGGAATTATTGTTGTCGGTGCGTTATACCCAGCAGCCCTAAACGGGCATTCCCGTCGGCCTTTGATCCAAATCCAGGGTGACGGTTTTCCTCCCCTGAATTTTTACCCTTTAGCTGAAGAACGAACCGTGGCTCTGGACGAAAACATGCAAGGGATGCTGCCGGGGGAGGATTATACTGTCATCCAATAGGGCAATGGTAAAAACGTTTGTTTCTTTTTTCGTTATTAGCATGTCAAAATCGCAATTGCTGATTGGCCAACAAACGACCCGATCTAGAAAATAGGTACCTTTCATCCAAACTCGAGTTGCTATGAAACGGTTAGTCTATCTATCTACACCGTTGTACCTCTTGATAGGTACAGGAAGAGCCCAAAAACTACGTGTGCGGTATAGTCACTACACGGACAAGAGTATACTATTATGGGCGCTATCCGACATGATACTGAAGTATGCGATTCTCGGTAATTTGATCGCCTCTCCCGTTGTTTCCGTCACGACATATGTTCCAAACATTGACTTACCCAGGTAGACTCAATGATCAAGCTTACCGGCATATCATCCAGCGACTTTCTTCGTTGTCGCTGATACAACACTAACAAATGAATGCATAGTGTTTTCACAACCCCGTTTCGTACTTCCAACAGCAAAAAATGCCAATAATGACCTCATATTCAGAAGCAGCCAATGGAATCCAATGGATCACCTAGTAACATAATAGCAAACGGCAACCTCGCTCAGATTGGAATGATATAATGGTAATCCAAGCCCAAATTTCAGCCAAGACGTAGGGCTGAACCAATCGATACCTAATCGGGAGGCAACATGCACGAAACAAACAAATAAAGATTTATACATAGTACCAGTCCGGTGCCACCGCGCCCGCACATCGAGATTCTTACTATCATAGTACTAGTTCCGTCCATGAAATCAGAGAAAGACCGAGTAGGTATCATTCTGCGTGGCTGAAAACAGTCGCCGAGCTACACGGCTAAAAGAAAATTATTTATCTCAGCAAATGTGGTTGTAATCGACATTTGGAGGCCGTGGGCTATGTCAAGCTCGGCATCGGTCCCTCGGTCTCAAGTCTAAATGAGTGGTCTTTTTGATGGCTAGGTGACGCTGAGATGATAGGAACATAACATCAGAATATACGACGCCGGTCTTACGGTTCCCGACCCCATCCACTGCCCCCCTGCCCGTTAGAACTGGCGGTAGACCGTTCGCGGAATTGACTCAGCTCGCTGCCATTAGCGAATCAGACGTGAGCGCCGGGGCTGCGAGTTTGTGGAGGAACGTGGCTAACTTGCAGAGACGACCTTGGGTCGCATTTCTATTTCCGATCTTATTAAAAGGCTTCCCCGGTTAAGAATTATAATTGGTTGCCAGTCGAAAGTCAATCTCTTCGTAACGATGGTTTCTCGTCTATGACGATATCGTATCGAATTAGGCGTAACACTCTCTTTAACACACTGAGGCTCCCTCCTAACATACATCAATCGAACGGCAATTCTCAGCTGGATCTGGAAATTATTGTTATTACGTTAAGATGGGTTAATTTACGAAACTCTCCTTTTCGAATTGGTCAGCCAAGGCTTCTGGAATTCGTATTGAGTTTATGGTTGGCGCTTCTTATGCCATTAGACACTGTCTGAGTCTGCTATTTTTGACCTGCTGATATGCAGTGTTGACTGCAGGTACGCTACAAAACCACAAAGAGGTTGGAGACCGGTGCCAAACGAGAGACAGTCGTGCAACCCACCCCGCGACTATGAACAGACCTTTGCTTTTTACCTGATAAGCGCGTCATAGTAGCACCGTACCGCCCCCTCTCCTCTGTTGTGCTCCTATCGTCTCTATCTTATCTTGTGCTTTGATCAACTTGGTAGAGACACCTAGCAAAGCATAGATAGATATGCTCATCTCCCCACTTCTAACTTACCGTCCGATGTAACACAGTTACACAGATGTCGCCGGCATCGTATGGCAGCATCCCGTCCGCCATTCACGACATCCCGCAGCAAGATCATGTCCTGCAGGTGCCCGTAAACGTGAATCTATAATATAACAACACCATACGAATCCGTTAGCGTCAGCCCACCTTGTGTAAGTATAAACGCGTGTCAAGGTAGCCCAGTTCCGTCGAAATAGCCCTAGGACTCGGCTGGATTCCGATCGGAAAGGATTCGAGTATTATGTTGGTCGCACAGGGGCCACGGAGAATTTCACCATTCGTCGTAGATACCGCCGCCACTCACCCTCTTCGCCCCTTGAATTATCTGGGGACGGAGAGTAAAATTAGGGTATTAGGAAATCTAACTCAGAACTATATCGCGGAAGACGTAGAATTAGTACGAGGCCCCTTTCATTGGTTACTATTAATATCGCAGTCTGACTTGGGGGGGAGATATTTCACCGAATAACTTATCGCTGAAGATACCTAATGCACACCTTTGAAGCCCGGGTATTGGGTACCTGGTGAGTAAGAAGAAAAGGGGCGATGCCGGTCTTCCGCTAAAGGTCAGGGACCCGAGATCCAGGTTGATTTAGATTGCGAGTGAGATTTCTCGCATGGCAGCCCTGAGGAACACACAAATCCCCACTCCTCCAACCGGTTCGCCTTGCCTTGTCTTACCTCGTCCAGAACCCCGGGATCCTTCTTCTCGCCACCCGTATGTGTATGTATGTATGAGCCACCACCAACATACATTAACTGCACAGCATCGGTATCTAAACATCTAATCCAGATATGGCGATGCGGCTTGATCACGCGGATTTGCATATATATATCATCTGATTCCTGGTCTGTCTATCTGGCCTCCCCCGGCCACATAGGCGACCTAGTCTCGGTAGGTGATAGGAGGTAGACAGACGTAGTAATTCTCCATGAGCCGAAGGAGCTGGGAGGTAGTGATATGGTAGTAGTAGGAATAGGATCACATTCGGCACCGGGGTCCGCCACAGCGCTATATACCGACGAATTATACAAGATAGTAGCAATGCCGGATGCCTCGACGTCGTCGGGTATAGCCCATGTCACATCACATCTATAGCTATCGAATACCCGGGTTACTACTATCCTCCATCTCCAAAGCACATAGGCTAGGACTTAATCCCATTAACACGCTCATTCGCCCCCGTAAACCCCCTTTCCTTTCCATCCGGGTTCATCATTCATTCACTCATACCTTAGGTACATAAATGCACTCACTCCTATCTAGATACCTGTCTCCAACTCCACAGGCCGGCCATATATCGTGACCTAGCGCATATCTCTTATCACAGGCAAAGAAGACAAAAGAAATAAGTGTAGGTAGATAGCTAGGCTGCTAGGTTAGTTGAAAACAAAGTCCTAAATACCACCACCTCATCCAGCGGGAACCCAAACAGCGCCCCATCCTATCCCGCCGTAGCATTGCATCGGAACTTAACTCGTCCAATGGCAGTATGTAGATTCAAGTTTCTTATATGCACCTTCGCTGCATGCATATATCATAATACATAGAGATAGAAAAGCGTAGGTATAGGAAGGGAGGTAGTATTCTCATCGCTAAACGTGGAGAGTCGACAAAAATACTACATAGGTAGAGATGCACATACCTAACGATGATCGTCATTCATCCGGTCCCATTTCAGGCCTCCTTCAGCAGCCATATACATACCTACATAGTAGCAGCTGTAGGACTTTTGTGTGTAAAACATCATTCGACATCTACTCCAACACACATCGTCTTTCTTCACCTCTGTAACCAATCTAGGTACCTAGTTGGAGTAATTTTAGTCGAATACGAGAACCAACAGCTCGCTTGTTCATAAAGAAATAAAAATAAAAATAAAAATAAAAAGTTCATTTCGTTTCGTTTCGTTTCAATGTCCTACATACGATCCCTAATGCCCAGCTCTCCGAGCGCCCTATTCGCCCGAGAAAGGCACAGCTATTCCTTGGTAATCATATCATACATTATATCGTAACCCGCCAGCTAGCCAGCCAGTCAGCCAGTTATCAATCCATCTGGCTATCTGCTCTACGCCACGCCAAGTTTCCCATGTCCGCACCTAGGTAAGGCATTCATTTATTCCTTCCTCGACAACGCAATGCGATCCGCCGGTTCTGAACGGCCCCCTGCATGCATGGAGACATGACATGGTGGCAGCCCCCAATCGCGAATCCAACGATAGACGAGCGACTCACCCGTCGAGACGTGAATCCTTCGACGTGATGGGCGAACCATAACCGCCCGGCTCCTCCAACTAATATGTCGTGCCTGACAGCCACGTCAGGCAGTTCACCACCAGTCGCCCTGGTCGTGCATGGCCTGGACGACCTTGAGGAAACCGGCAATGTTGCCTCCAGCGACTAAGCTAGGTAGCTCGCCCTCCTTGGCCTCGACGTACTTGTTAGCATTCTCGATGCTCTGGTCGAAGATGCCCTTCATGATCTGAGCAAGGCGCTCGTCGACACGCTCCTCCGTCCAGTTGAAACGACTGCTGTTCTGTGCCATCTCAAGACCGGAAACCGCCACACCGCCTGCATTGGACGCTTTGCCCGGCGCATACCAGATAGCGTTGTTGCCCTTCTCTTTTCGAACGGCCTCGAACACGTCGATCGCCTCCTGCGTGCAGCCCATGTTGGAACCTTCAGCGACGAACTGAGCGCCGTTCTTGACTAGTGTCTCGGCCTCCTCTCTGTTAACTTCGTTCTGCGTCGCACATGGAAGCGCGATGTCCACCTTGCCGACGTGCACCCAGGGGCGCGCGCCTTCGATGTACTTGAATTGCGACTTGCCGCTGAACTCGGTGATAGGCTTGCGGTCGAGCTTGATGGTTGCGATCTCGTTGACGTGCTCGGGGGTAAAGTGCGCGTCGCCCTCGGCAATCAAGGCGCCCTTTGAGTCGGACAGAGACACAACTGTGGCACCAAGCTCAATACACTTCAGAGCAGCGTATTGGGCAACGTTTCCGGATCCAGAGATGGCAACGCGCTTCCCCTTGAAGCTGCCCTTTCCGGCGTACTTGAGCATGTGCTCGACATAATAGACGAGACCGTAACCAGTAGCCTCTGTTCAAAAATCGTTAGCTTGGTATGTCCTTCTAAGCAACTCGACGGTAGTGTCGGCACTTACCTGGTCGGATCAAGCTACCACCCCAAGAGAGACCCTTGCCGGTGAGAACACCTTCCCACTTGTTCCTCTCCTTGCGGTATGTGCCGAACATGTAGCCAACTTCTCGGCCACCGACGCCAATATCACCAGCGGGAACGTCAGTCTCAGCGCCGATGTGCTGGCAGAGCCTTCGCATGAACGCTTCGCAGAATCTTCGAATCTCATTGTCACTCTTGCCCTTGGGGTCAAAGTCTGCACCTCCTTTTCCACCACCCATGTTCACTAAGAAGATCAACATTAGTAATGCTCGGTTTTCTCTGTCGCGAGCGTAAACTTACATCCTGTCAAGGCATTCTTGAAGATCTGTTCGAATCCGAGGAACTTCAGACTATTAGGCACGCATGTTAGTATGACCGGTTCGGTTGAAGTTGACTATTGCCGTTTTAGGTAAGAGGTCTTCTCACATCGACAAGTTGACGGTAGGGTGGAATCGCAGGCCACCCTTGTACGGGCCAAGAGCGGAGTTGAACTGGACGCGGTACCCGCGGTTCACTTGCAGGTTACCCTTGTCATCTTCCCAGACGACTCTGAATTGGATAATACGCTCTGGGATAGAAACGACGCTCAACGCAGTTCTGTACTCGGGATGCTTCTGGAACAGCGAGCTCTCCTCAAGGGTGGCCACAAGCTCTGTCTTTCGTGTTAGTCTAGGTCGGCACCCACCAGCCGTGTTATTTTAGGTTTTTTTTACCTTTGTAGGCCTGTTCAAACTCGGGCTCAGCGGCAAGATGAGACATGGTTACGATGTTAGACTTTAAGTCTGGGTATAAATTTTTGAGAGAAGGGGGGTATCAGCGGAATTGGGTATCTTAAACTGTGTCTAGCACGATGCTAATATAAATGAATAGGAAATACGCCTCCCGTGAACAAGTCGTCAGAAGTGCAAACTTTATTTTTCTACTTTCAAAGAGTCAAGAAAACATCAGAATGGAGGGAGGAGAAGCATTATATGGACCTCCCGCTCGAGCAAGACAAGACCGAAAGACACCGTCATCGGTGCTCCTCTAGACTAAAGGGTTAAGTGGTGAATATGCCGATCAAGGGTTTGACTACACGTTGCCATTGTGTAAAGGTGGCCCTTGATACCTGAGACACACCAGGTAACCCAAGCCTTGTCCTGGATGACTACAATCTTTCACTAATGGAAGAAGGTAAGATTGTATGTAGCCTCACCTGTCTGGGGAGAAAGGTGTGGGGGGCCTAGGCCACAGAGAACGATTCCGGCTGAGTTTTTCTTTTTTACCTTCATATTATTATGGCCTTGCCCCTGTCTGACTGAGGCAATTGTTGACCCGTTGGATGAGATCAAGGTATATGCCTCAATCTAGTCAACGCAGATCCATGTCCTGGAGATTATACCCAACTTCTCTAAGTCCAGAGCGTTGTCGGCGAGAACCAAGGGCTTCTCACTCCTTGGTTCTCGCTGATGTTCGGGGCTAAGTAACGTTCTGAGTATTATGTATGGTACCGTAGACTAATTTCCGGGGGCCGAGTGGTCATCTTCACCACAAATTGCTAGGTCAGCTACATAATGATGACGGGGCTATATTTTTTGATGCCCGCATAATTTTTCGTTAGCGAAAAACAGAAAACACCGTAAACCACCGTAGCACATGCTCTTTGATGTCAAGTTGCGCATGCGAGCAGCAGAGCGGTGACGGAGTTCGTGGCGGCTACTACGAAACCATGTGGTTCCTCTGTGGGGGAAATGTGTGAACTATGAGCTGAATCGTAAGCCTGGGAGAGAATCAACCAACCATAGAGTCTGGTTCTGCTGCCCTACGGCAGGGTAGGGATCAGACCCGGAGAAGCGAAGAAGTTTAAGCTTCGCCACAGATTTGCGGCATCTTATCAGAGGACGATGATTCGTCGGTTGAGTTTGCAACGACAACAATATTCACGTCAATTCAATCTTCGGCTGACAGATGGGATTAGATCTCCACGGTTGAAATCTGTCTAATATGGAATCCTCCAGCCGCCGTTCGCGGAACGACCCTGCCAAGGGCTTGGGACGACTAGGAATGAGATGTAAAGACAGGGAACGACAGAGCGGACCCTGCAAGACATGCATCTCGCGGAAATTTCGATCCAGTAGCATCTCGCCAATGCATATATATTGCGTAATAGCTACCAAAGTTGAGCCAACTAGTCTCGAAAAGTTATTTGACCGACATGTTCCGCGACCGGAGTAATTCGGATCAGGCTCTGTCTAATTTTATAGTGAGCATCGCTACGAAAACTAACCGCGAGCGAAGCTCATACGACTTTTAAGTTACGAGCATATGGAATCGTATCTCTCTAGGCAGCCAAGAAGTCGAGTGTTTGTTCGAGACCTTGAGAAGAACTCCTCACTCTCGATACCGGTATTTGTGCTGGTTAACTTGTTAGACCATGCCTTCAACAAAGCCCGAGGATTGAAACGTTACTAGTATAAACGTTACTAGCATGCTAGCATATACCAAGACTGATATAAACCTCCACGGCGGGAACTTGTGGTTTTTCTTCTACTTACTCCTCGGATACTTGTCCTCGGCCAACTTATTCTGCGAATTATTGCAGTGACGGTTGCTAGAGCTAGGCTGACAATTTTCGCAACACTATCTTACAAAGGTAGCGTGCTACTATATGTACGACGTGATATCCTTCGCGATTCTACAAAGCATGATCATATTGTCGATGGAGTTGATAATTCGAGGATAAGAGAATGTTGTATTGGGGAAAGTTTTGAACGAGGCTCATTGACACCGATCTAAAGAACTCTACACAACGTTCATCGCACCTTCCCCGGAGGTAGCTAAAAGGTAGCTTCCATATGTCTGCATAATGTGTGGTTATGATGTAAGCCACTACTGGATTATATTTTCATAATTTATAACTATCGAGTGACTTCCGAACTTAATCAAAATGCTACCAAGACGACTGGAAACTCAACCTGATGACAGGAGATTATTCATGAACAAATCGATATGACTTCAACACCGGCATTACTCTTATCCAAGTTGCGTCAAATGCTAATATATGTTTAGTGCGAACAAGTCTGTCGTTTTCGAGTATTCTTTATGACATTGATTATATGACTTCAATGCCGAAGACTTATAGGAACCAGCAATAAACTTGATAGAACCTAATACGCTACAAGACCAATAGGCTCCGTCTAATAACACTCAACTAACCAACCTCAAAACCATACCAGTAAAGAAAACACAGCCATCTAAAATCACCGCTCAAAAGCAACCACATCCATCCTACTATACCTAATAACCCGCCATCCTCGCATCAGCAGAAACACAACACGCCCTCAAAGACATATCTCACTTCCCACCGTTCTTTCTACCCCTCCCACCCCCATCATCCCCATCATCCCCAAAGCCTCCCGAGATATGTCTCAGATTCTCAAACGCCGCCCTGAACTCCTGGCTAGTCGGCGACATATTCTTCATGTAGTGGAGCTGCCGCCCAAGCATATGCATCTGACGGGAAGTCCTAATGCAGGTTTTTTTCAACGAGTCGCTGTAGCATTGGGAGTTAGTCAGTTAGTTAGTTAGATGAGAACCGCACTGAGGTAGGGAGAAGGAAGGAAAGAAGACTTGCGCTGCTACTATGGCTTGTGCAACACGCTTCTCCCGTTGAACGTCGGCTTCTGCTCGGATTGCTTCCCGCCTCTCGTTCTGGTAGTGGGATGCGACGTTGAGGGCCGTGAGGAGACACACCTGGTAAAAATATACGCGTTAGAACCGTGCGATGGTGATACTTATTGAATTTATTATTTATAATGTCACTTACCCCGGCGATGAGCACCTTCTCGCTTGTCTTGGTCGCCATTTTGATCTACGTGGGCTAGTTGGAATTGAAGTAACAAGCGTGTGTAGTATTAAGACTAGCAAGAATGCTTTGAAAGATGCCCGTAAAAGAATAAGATAGCGAATATAGTGATAGAGGTGTGTTATTTTAGTTAACTTATAAGTATTGATTTTGTCCTGGATGATGGATTGACTATATTGCAAATACTGTCAAAAAGGAACATTCAGCAAGAAAGTAGAAACTAGATCATATAAATATTACAAGATTAAGCCAAAGTATTTAGCACCTGACTATATGTTCCACGTAGAAGGAACTTACTTCAACTCAGGGGAAGTCAGATCCTCTCGGCCAGACATCTAAGTACATCGTAGTCTTGATAACAAAATGTCATTGCCATGATCAAGCATTGCCAAAGCCCCTGTAAATAGCATAACTCTAATACAATTATAACGTTAATAGGTATATGGTATCTTCTTTCCATGGCGCTCGAGTCTGCTAAGCACTATTATATATCACTTCGCCATCCATAAATATAAAACCATCGACCCGGACTCCATACAATCGTATAACCTTGACATAACGCCGATTTCTCCCGGGCCCGTGGATGCCTTTGATTCTAATATCTTATCATTACCATATAGCAGATTGGTCAAAATCGAACCGCTTCAACTCTTTGCTCCCGTCTTCCACATCCTTCTTCGCCTTCATGCGCATGTAGAAGATGGGGCAGTCCTTGCTACTGCAGATGACCTCCCCGTGCATACTACCCTGACATCGCTGGCATTGTGTCCATAGTCGTCCAAACCGGACCTCCAGATCGGATACCTTGTCCAATGTCTTTTTGTACAGCTCCCCCACGCGCGGCGCACAGTCTGAGCAGACAGCACCACCACTTTCTTCCTTGCTCATGAGTGGCTTCTTGCAACCCATACATGTCATAGTCTTCTTTGCAAACTTCATGAGACCGCCTACCGTTGGTGCTGCAACTGATACGGAACGGGTATGATCACCAGTGAGGAGTGATTTCGACTTTGTCTCTCCAAGGATAGGGTCAAAGATACGACCAAGCGGCTTGGCTAACTGGTTGTCGAGGTAATATCTTGTATCGATAGGCACGTTGTTTTCTAGAACGAAGATCGGATCTTCTGACTTCTCGAAATTCCTCGCTCCACTTGCGCCTTTTACCATAACGTATGCTACTCGATCACCTAACCCTGGCGCGGAACCGGCATCTCGTTTCTTCATGCGATGCGCAAGTTCAACGTGGGCTTGCTTCGCATCATAGCTTTCTTTGGTGAGAGCCTTCGTAATCACAAGCTTAGACATATCTATCTTGTTCTGTAGTAGATCCGCGATTGTATCTTTGACGTAGCTGCAGGGCCGGTTAGTATGATAAGATTTATAAATAAATTTAAGGAAGGAGATATACTCTTGGGCTCCCTGGACGTCCTGGTCGATCAGGATCATCCTCAGAACTTTCTCAATAACGGTCTGTACTAGCAGACAGTTATCTCTCCTAACAGTCTCGATACCTTTGGTATCCATCTTGTCAAACTTATCGGGTCTCGTCCAGAAAAGACCCGCATATCGCTTTTTGTTGATTAACAAGTACGGGAAGTAGACCTTTTCGAACTCTAGCTTAATTGGTTTCACAAATTTTGATGACACATAATTCGCTGCCTCTTCGCCCAGCTTCATCGCTTCGGCTAGGTCCTTCGTCCCGAATTTAACCATGACGGAATCCGTATCACCATAGATGACTTGGGCGTCATGAGAGTATCCATTTGCGATACTGTACTTCTTTTCCACTTCAGCCTTGGTTTTTTCAATCATTTGTCGACCAAAACTTGTGGTACTACTGGCGATTTCGAGACAGGGGAGTTTACCAGTTGTAGCACCTGTAAGACCGTAAACACTGTTGGCGCTGATTTTCAACGCGAGCTGACGACCATTCAAGACGGCCTTCTTGAAAGGGTCAGTCTCGATGGCTAATTCTCTTTTAGCCTGCTTTCTTGCTGAGAGGAGTTCCTCGAGAATCTGGGCAAGAAGACCCTTTCGTTGCTTAGCAGTGACGAACATATCACCGTTGGGCGTAACGATATAGTCCTCATCTTTCTTGAGGCTAAACTTCTCTACTGCTCTCTTGTTCACAAGAGTTGTGTAGCAAAGATTATGCGCTTGCATAATACTTGGATATAGTGACGCAAAATCGAGAGTTGCGATAGGCACGTCATAGTAACCTCGAGTAGGCTCGATGACTGTAGCGCCTTCGTACTGATCATCCGAGTTTTCTGATTTCATATTTGGAATCACAAGCTTTTGTTCAAGAGCCTTCCGGAACAGCTGGCTCATGAATTTGACCTGTTGTCCACGAGAGAGGAGGAAATTGAACGGAACTCCTGTGACTCTGGCCATTTCTGTATAGTTCGCAAGACAGGAGAGTTTGTCCATTAATCGTTGAGGTAAATAGGCATCCTTTAAACAGTATAGCGCTAGACGACGTCTGGACTCCGGTGTACCGTTAAATAGTTCGGTAATCATCGTGTAGTGTACATCTTCTTTTTGTTCTCCGAGGAAATGAGAACACACTGAATTGAGAGTATAACTTCTGAGATGATGATCTCTCTGAATCAATTGTAGGAGATCAAGCTGCAATCGACCATTCGTGTTTGTGGTCTTCGTATCCCGATTTCCCATTTGCTTACTTGAGAGATTCGTCTTTTTAGAGAAGGTTTTTACACTATGCAGACGAGTCCAGTAGTCGAAACCATGGATCTTGAGGTGGTCGGCACGATCAAGTAGATATGGAAAATCGAAATTGGCAATATTGTAGCCAGTGATCAAATCAGGGTCGACTTTGTCAAGGAACCGCTTCCAAGCCATAAGCATGTCTGATTCCCTCTCGTAATCTAGGATCTGGGTTGCTACTATAGGACTTGTCCGGTCCAAGCAGAATACATTCCGAATAAAAGGTTTGCTCTCTCCATAACGAGTTACGACGTTCGCAATCTGGATTACTGGGTCTTGGTTCGCCTCCGGGAAGATGCCTTTTCGTCCGGCACATTCGATATCGAAGGACAGAATCCGGAGAGGTGCCATTTTAGACCACTCCCCTTTCGGTTCGTGGGAGATTAGGTCTCGGTAGCTAATCTCGGCTTCAATTTGGCAGCTCGATTGCCGCTGGCCCTCTGGTATTAAATGATATGACTTAGCGGGCGCTTCTACCCAAGACATACCGGGAATCTGTAACGATCAGTACGCCTCCTTTACGTGATTATCATAAATTGCGTACCTTGCAGTCAACCATAAATCGTAAAACGTATTGTAGGTTATCAAACGTCATTATACCCCCTTCAACTCCTTTCCACATTCCTCTCCAGTTTGCTTCGTTCTTCTCGAAGGCCGAGCGCACTCTCGGGATATGCTTTGGGTCTGTAACCGTGATCTTGATATATGGACTTTGCGTGTTGCCCTGGAAGCCGTATATATTCTCTCGCAGGACAATTTGGCAAGAATGTATGACAGGTTGAAGTTGGGATAGCTGACTCTCAAGGTATGCTTTGAAATATTCGCAATCATGGGGCGCAAAGGAGACGGGGGCAGCGACATAGAGGTAGTGCTTGAAATCTGTAACGTGCATCATTACGGAGTGGCCATCCTCAGTCACACCGAAGAGCTTGATAGTAGTCTTTCCGCCATGTAAAGTACCTTCTTCGGCTTCTATTTGTTGGAAGGTGAGGCTGTCCCGAGTAGGGTCGAAGTTCACAACGGGAGGACGTTCCCATGCTTGGTCCTTTTCTGAATTGGACTGCTTAAGCTCTGAAATATCTTGGCTTAACTTCTCGAGAACTTCTGACTCGAATGTACTTTTCGGCTGGGTTGATGTTAATTTTGAGCCAGGGCCCTGCTGAGAACTGTTGAGGCGCGATGCCGGGGAGGATAAGAGTGGTTCGAGACGGGGCTTTTTTGCGTTGGGGTTTGATTGGAAATTTGGACGATTTGAAGTGTCCCCAAGGGCACGCTTCTGAGGTAGGAATTTAGTAGCCATGGCTATGTCTTTCGAGGACAGACTCGATGGGAAATAGAGAGAGGGCAATCAGAACATCAGAAATACTATTTGAAGTGCCACCGAAAAATGATGATAATAATGGTATGGAGGTAGTGTAGTAAAGCACAAGTCATCTGTTAAGTTTAAGTGGTTTTTAGAAAAGCGCGTCGCGTTCAGAAGATAGCAAGGGTCTTTGGCGGGGCGTACGCGTTAAATCGTCACGTCACTAGGTACCGCTCCGCTTATCACGGGGCATTTGATTGGCTAGTGGTGCATTTGGTTTATATGCGCGTATGCGTACCGAAAAGGTACTTTCTTTAATGCGATTCTTTGATGCGACTATCTTAGGTTTAGGTAGCTGAAGATGACATAGAATGTTTGTTTATTATTTATTATATTGATATAACCAATGTAAAGGGTATATACTATGACATTGTCATATACAACTTATGAGCAACACTTTTAAGAATCCGTATAACTAGTTCAAATACGTAAGGGTAAGGCAAGACAGTATTTCACATTGAGCCAAGTATGACTGTCTATATGATTGGTCTCTAGTATACACTTTTCACGGTATGAAGATCTAAGCTGGTAAGATCTACAGTTCCCGTCCACTGGCCTTCTCAACAACATCCTCGTCTTCCTTTTTCTCTTCGACCACCTTTCCGGTGGGGTTCCACTCCAGCGCCTTCAGTCTCTCCGAAAGGATGGGGTGGGAGAAATGGTAGCTCGCATACAACGAGTCTGCATCCATCGTACTAAGATTCTGGATCTGCAGCTTGATGAGAGACGAAGCTAGCTCAGCCTGGTAACCCAGGTTACGAGCAAAGGCATCGGCCTGGAATTCAAATCGTCGGCTCATGATGTTCATCAGTAACTTAATCACAAGGTCCATTGGTGCCAATGCGTCCGAGAATAGAATGAATCCGATGATAATAGGGTGCTCCTTGATGAAACCGAAGTCGGCATACAAGGAGTTGTTGTTGACGAAGACCGAGAACAAGCTGAAGATATAGAACACGTTAATCTGTCGATTGTTAGTATGCTTGGTGTATTTTAGTTGGAATTTTTGAACAAACCTGAGAGATACCAAAAAGCCTAGTAGTGTGACCAAGACTCCAATGGCCGAGTTCGTGGGCTAGAACGGCAACAACCTCCTCTGAGCTGCTCTTCTCAATCAATGTGTCGTAGATGACGATGTGCTTCTTCCACGGAAGTCCGAAGAAATAAGCATTGCTATGCGCGCTGCGTTTGCTTCCATCGATGACGAACAATTCATGGAGAGGGAAATTCAGTTTCTTGGCCAGTGCCTCAGTCTCAGTCTTCAATTTGCCTTCCTCTAGAGGGGACAGTTTATTGAACAGAGGTAGGATGAAGATTGGGTAGACCGTGATCATGAAAACCTGAAGAACAGCAGTGAAGAGCCAGAGATACGTGACAAACTGAGTACCCGTCTTCTTTACGATGGCAAGGAATCCGGCAAGAACAGGAGGCGCAATGACGAAAGCAAGCAAGTTTGACTTGAGCATATCAGTGATGAACAGTTTGGGCGTCTGCTTGTTAAAACCGAACTTTTCTTCCAAGACGAACGTATGGTAGATGTTGGCAGGGAGTGATAGAGCTTGCTGGATCAGGATAAACGTGAGGACAAAAACAATTGAGTGCGATATCTCGCCGCTAAACCGAGCGGGAGCGAAACGGAGGAGGCCACCAGTCCATGTCCATAGTTTTGGGAGAACATCAAAGTGAATGAATGCAATATTCTGGATTTGACCCCAGAGACCTTTTACGAAACCAAACTTTGCTTTAGCGCGACCATATTCCTGACTTTTATCGTAGACATCCTGGGCAACTTCTTTCTCAAGAACCTTGGGGGGCTTCGTCTTCTTTAAGACTCCGTACTGGCGTAGTGATAAGAATTCTTCGAAGAGATACTGAGCGACAGAAAAACCGATGATGAGCTTCTTCCACGGGAAGAGGGGTCGGTCTAAGAACCTTGCTAGGCGCTAATTATACAATGTTAGCAATTTTCTAGTTATAAAAAAGGGTTATAGAGATTACCTGAAGGATATCCATCATGCCGATATTAGAAGGTTCGGTGATGATGGGAACATTAAGTCTCAGACTAGCTGAAGGAAAGACCTATAATTGTAGGCAGGTAAGCTCGTAAGCTGTCATCGAGAAACTGTGTCAGGTTAGACGTCAATGTGGCTAGTATATGTGGTACAAGGGTACAAGCTATGGCACAGCTTTTTGCACCGCCTCATAGACGATCTAGGTACCTTCCCTAGGTACCTACCTAATCAACTTCAATTTTAGAAAACAAAGATGAACATATCAATACAATCACATTTATTGTCCAGGACAATATTCATAAGGAATACAATTTCAAGCCTACCTAATTACATATGTACCTAATGCATGTAAAAAAAAAGACCAACGGCAGAAAAACTCCTAATTCGTAGAGAAACCTCATGCTTCCTTTTATTCTTCTTCAATGCTTAGACGGCACTTTCGGCTTTTTAAGTGCTCTTATACTAGACCGGAGTAGGCCGCTAGTATTTCAAATGACTGCTAACAATTCGTCTTATCTCATATTTGCCTTAACCCTCTCTAAAAGTTGCTCTCGGGTATCTCCTTTCTGGGGATGCAGGTTGCGCTAGACGTAGTTAGCTAACGGAGTAGGTTAAGTAGAATATGGGGACATTCTTACGGCCGCAAGCCATCTTCTGAGTTCCTCCCGCGTCCAAGTCTCGGGGTCTCCCTTCGGATCATCCTGAGAAGGGAATATACTCCCGCCAGCCAACGACCAAGCGAGGGCGGCTGTAACGAGCCCGGAGAAGGCTTTGATATAAGCACTCATCAGTATGGCGAGGATGCAATAATTTATATGTACTTAGCAGATGTACCTAGTACAGCGTTCTGCTCGCATCGAGTTAGTTAGAATTAATACCCTTAGTTACCAATACTAGACTGATAGATGATGTTGGGGGTTATACCTTGGATTTCATGGCATTATCAAGAAGAGTAGGCATGATTGGCAATTCAGATGGAACTTATATACATAAAATGAATAAGTAGGAGGTCGTATTCCGAATCACCAATATCTAAATTCAGTAATCAGGCAACTCTGTCCTGTTCAGATCATGGTTCTTTTCGTTGAAGGACCAATAGCTGTATCTATGAGTCTTCAGCTTGTGATAGTGGAAGCTAACGCCACGTCATCAGCCACGTACGGTATTAGTGGAAAGCCTCATCCTTCATTAGGTACATATGGACCGTGCGCATAGCTGCTAACCTTATCTCTTATCAATTAATACAAGAACCCTCCCCACTATCAATTATCAATTATCAATATTGGGAAATCGCTTAGAACCCTGTCACGGAATTTCGCCCACACAATTTCGCAACACCGGCAGAAAAGTCAACTTCTCGATTCCTACCTCTATCAACATCGATTCCGCCATCACACCGTCAAAATGCCTCAGGAAATCGCCGATATCAAGAAGGTATATTTACGAATATAAGACTCTGTTTAATTGAATTTTAGCTAACAATTGAGTTATTTAGTTCATCGAGATCTGCCGGCGGGAAGACGCCAAGTGTACGTGACGAGATAATGAATAGAAGATGGTTGTTTTAGTTTTAGTGCTAGTTCTAACAAGTTCCCTTTTTATAGCCGCCCGGATCAAGAAGAGCAAGAAGTCGTCGCAGACCAAGTTCAAGGTCCGATGCTCCAAGCACCTTTACACCCTAATCCTTAAGGATTCCGACAAGGCCGAGAAGCTAAAGCAGAGCTTACCCCCGAGTACGCATTGACTCCTCGCAAACTAAAGCTTCGAATAATCACTAACATTATAACCATAGACCTACAAATCAAGGAGGTTCCTAAGAAGAACAGGAAGGGCAAGCACACAGCATAAGTTCTGACCACGCGTCCGGGGAAAGGAAAACTACCAATCGCAACTGGGGAAGTCTCAGGGTGATGGACGGATAGGCGTCTACGAACGCGGTCATCGAGGACCAATGGGGAGTGATGCATATGCTCTTGTAGCTGGGCTGGTATTTTCATGAGGCGGCGTCTAAGGATACCTTCCGAATTGATGTTTCTCGAGCACGATAACGCTTGTAGACAATTCACAACAATTGCACAAAATCCCGCGATCAGGGCCATTATTTTCAAACAGCAAAAGAGAACTTCTTATTGTGTGCTTAATCATGTCTACAGGATTCTTTCGTAATGCTTCAAGTCAGTACCCTGCGCAAGGGACAAGAGTGCTGCTGAGAACTGAGGGAAGTCTTTTCCTCCTGCGAATTCAATATGCTTCTCGACACTTGGCCACGAACATGACAGGATAAACTGCTCTAAGTTCTCGTCTTCCTTTTCGATGCGCCACCCGGACTTAATTAGTGGTGTATATCCCTCCAATAGGTGCTTATTCTCAGTCCAAGCCTGCTCAAACGCCTTACGTTTCTCAGCCGGGACGGTCACAGCACTTAAGCTAACGATAGGACTCTTCAACAAGGAGATATCGCCGTTCGGTCCCGATGCGTCGAAGAACTCGGCGTTTTCGAGATGAGAAACAACCGTCTTCTCTAGCGTGAAGTGCTCCTTGAGAGCAGGATAGACGGTCTTGTTCTCGGTGGAAGCTAGCCAAAGCCCATGCTGAGAGACGGATTCCCAGTGCGCCGTGAGGAGGGTGACAGATGGATCTTCGATTTGCCGGAAGAGACCTACACCACGGGCTTCTCTGTCCTTAGGTAAGGTCGAGGTGTTGCGGGCGCACCAGTCATCCAGGACGACTAGGGCTTGGTTCATGGCCTTCTTGGCGTCGTCTCCGGCGGGCCCGTGGGCAGCTGTAAACCATGCTAACTCTGTGACCGTCATGATGACTTATTGATGATATGGTAATGAGATATAAAATTGAACTGATAAATGACTTTTACCTCGTAAAAGGATGAAGAGGTAAGTTGATGACAAACGAGGTTATATAGTATTCTTAGTGTTAGGCCGCGTTGCAGAGAGTTACCTTACCTACCCTACACCGCATTTACCAAATCAAGGACCTAACCTAGTCGGGTCCGTTATGTGTGGGTAATTCCAGGCCGGATTTTAATCAACCTAGAAGAAGCCTTAGGTTAAGTCCAATTATAGTGATCATTGTCGCAATGGTTTTCATATATCAGGTTTATACGTGCAAAACTTCCTGTCACGAATAAACTCGTATGCCGCAGTGGCAATTATGTCAGTTGACGTTCATTTCATATGAAGTTCAAGTTAGAAATCAATGCATCGTGGACCGTTATTTTATGTTTTTATGGATCGCGATTCTTATTAGTTGCCTATCAAGTAGCTATTTCCCCATCGTGTTGCCAAGTCTAAACAACTTCAGTCTATACGAAAATGGTCATATAACACAACAGGGGACAACGCACCATTCTAACAACCAATAAATCTTTATCAACCTAAATCTAAATAGAAACCAACCTGTTCATCTCTCGTTTTTTAAAAATTATGAAAAATAATGGGTAATAATTTCAAAGGGTTGCAAGTGCTACAACAGTCTTCTAGGTTAGTGGTTTTTAAACATTATTTTATCTTTAATAGCGTTGTTAGGCCGTTACTTTCTAAAGAAAGCATGCTTAAGCCTTAATTATTGAGAAGAACGATGTTAATATAGGAAGCTTCCTATATAAAATTAGGAATCTTGACATTCTAGGACCCCTATTCTCCGGATAGCAACTCATGATATCATCCTCGGATTTTATAATTCAGACAGCCTTTCGCCTATCATTACTACGTGTCCGGAATGAGATACCGACGGAAATATTTCTTCTATTTAATTATATCCAAGTACCGTGTGTGCTCGCGTATCATACTATGCAGAGTTGCACTGCCACTTGGAATGGCAGATATGTAGGCTGATTCTGCATATTAATGATATTTGGTGGTATTTATCTCAGCCACCCCCCCCTTTAAAACTCTGGCCATCTGACTATGCTCCGGTCCATACTTTATGTTCACTCATCTACCTAGCTTTAAAGTCCAGCAATGAGAAATTGAGTCTATAAAGTGCTACGGAGTGATGGGAGACCCCTTAGGAGCAGTCGGCTCTATTGTGGGCATTGCCGCTTTTGGCCTTAAGTTCGCAACGACGCTACAAACATACATCGAGGCTGTAGCTGATGCGGAAGAAAGCTTACGGGAGATTGCTCTAGATGTCAGTGAAACAGCGTCCGCTCTAAAACAACTCGAAGACTACATGAAACCCGATCAGAGTGGTCAAACAATTGCGAATGATTCGGGAGTGGAAGACGTTGCACGACTCGCATCGCAGTGCGAGAAAGTTTATACTGTCATCATCTATATTATCGCTAAGGCTGTCGGCGTGCCAAAGGACGACAATGGCAAAGTAACCCTTGATGCATTAGATTTACACAGCTTAGATGCCCCAAGTCGAATGCGGAAGCTCATATGGCCCTTACGAGAATATCGTATTAGAAAGCATCGTGAAGAGCTAAGATGGTTAAAATTTAGCCTACTTTTTCGACTGGGACTCATGGAGCTTGCAAAGAACAAAAAGATGTTCGTATTGCATATAACCTTGTCTTGACTATTGCTGATTTTCTGTACACAGGGGCCCAGCCAGATCCCCCGATGCATATGAGAGGGAGTTAGCCTTGCATGCCAAGGTGGAAAAACTCCATGCTCAAATGGAAGCATATATCAACAAGATAATCTCCCGAAGAAGTGAAAAGAATAAGACTAGAAGAAAATCCTCGGCTGAGTCTTCTTCCTCGAGTAGTATAGGTAAAGTCACATATCGAAGATCGAGCTCTAGGCGAGGACAATCCATTGCCAAAACCAGCGATCATAGCTATACGAGATCCCTATCTAGCGTAGAGGACGCTGATAGAAAGGGGAAGAAACCTTCTTCATTTGGTGGAATTATCGATAATGATTCAAAGATTACGCCTCCAACACATGCTCCAGATGTAATGTAAAATAGCCCACCAACGTCATGTTGCCGTGTAGACTAATATATATAGCGACGGTACTCCGAAAGCACCAGTCGGGCTTCCTGGTAATTCAGTAGTTGAAAACAATAAGGATCCAGAAAATCATACCGACTATCCCAAGCAAACCGAACCCTTTCCACGAATTACAGCCCAGGAAATGCCCGGTGCGAACTCTACAGCTTCTCAAACTCAAACACATCCCCAAATAGACGCCCAAGATTCTCCGGCCAACGCAGACACCAGTCAGCCAGTGGATTGCCCAAGGTCAACAAATGCCAGTAATGATGAGAGGGAAACTCCGCACGATCACACAATAGAATACCCCGGGGGCACGGAAAGATATACGCCCGAACCATCCCGAGGAATCTTTGGCGCTCTTCTGTGGACATCGAACTTATTCAGGAAACGATATAAGCTCGTCCACGACTGGAAGAGCCAGGAGATCGAGGGCTACCTTGTCGAAAGTGACACCGGTACCATCCGCAAGCTTCCCTTCAACCGCCAGGAGCTGATAAACCAAATAACACGCATCACCAAGTCAAAACAGGGTAGCGTGTTGAAACAGTATGCATCACTCACTTCTGCCCAGCGAGAGAGCGTAGATCGGGTGATAGCAGAAGCGAGCCGTTCAAGTCATCGCATGAGGTCCTGCGTGGCAATAGACCAGCAGCTCGGGCGGGGCCAGAGGCAATCTCATATTACCGCATTTTTCTCGCTGTCTGCCGCCCAGCTAGTCCATGTCAAGTTCGGCGCAAACTATTTTCAGTTTGCGTTTGAACTATGTCGTACATGGGAGGTAAGATGTTCTCCCAGTCATCTACTTATTACTACCATAGACAAGTTGAGAAGTGCTCACTTATTTATTTATATTAGGGCATCAACGGACTCATTAGACAGGTCGTATGCAATATAAATACTATTAATTCTCCCTTGATACAAGGCATGTACGAGCTTAGGGGCCTTGACGACAAAGTTATCTCACGTGAGATGTGGTGTACCACTGTCCATCCTGGCC